GTAAATGCTCGGTTTTTTTTTATCAATAAAATGTTTAACAGCCTTTTTTTTTTTTTTTTTTTTTTTTTAGAAACATCAAAGTAGTTTTCTGTGTGGCGTGTCTGAGTCTTCTGGAGTTAACTATTCCTCAACTTTTAGATGCTTGCCTAAATGAAAATTAAAATGTTTGGAGGTGAATGTATTTTAAAGCATTTTTTTTTTATCTGTTTTGACATCCAGGTGGTGAGCAACAGAGACACTCTGGAGACCTTGCTGTGCATGGCGTGTGTGTTTGAGGTGTCGAACAACGACCACGGAGCACAGCACCACATCTATCGACTTGTCAAGGAATAACACACTCCACCTCGTTAACAAATGCACATCTATGGCCTTTTGCTTGGTGATTATTCATGGTGACACTGAAGGGAGAGATATAGATCCCTTAAAAAAATAATAATAATAAAAAAAAAAACTACCAAAATTTCAGTTCACCAAAAAAAAAAGAAGAAAAATTTAATCAGTCAAGGATAAAAATGGCTACATTTTCACTCCCACTTTATAAACTAGCCATCAACGAAGGCGGTGACCGTGTAGCCATGACACCCTGTGAGAATCAACATGGTTGGTTTTTCCCAAGATCTCCCTGGGATGAGGAGCAGTCGTCATCTCTCCCACTAATTAAGTTTTCTGAGCACATCAGAACTTTACGGCTGTGAACATGGGAATATAAGTGGGATTCGTGTTCAGAGCCTTTGGGAAAAGCTAGAGAAAGAAGAAGGAAAAGAAAAAAAAATTTTTTCGCCCCCTGGTGGAGAAAAATCCCTCCTCAGCCAAGACGTACCGAAGGTCAGACCCTGTGTATCATCAATAACCTGCTGGAGAAAAGGACATTTCTGCATTATGGTATAGTAGACTATAGATCTGGATGTGTACAGATAGACTCTGTGGGTTGTTCCAGTTGAGCTCTTGCACAAATGAAGAGGTTTGTCCCAAAGAGAAAGAATGAAGTTTTTACCTTTTTGTATGTTTTCCTTAAAAAGACACACACACACACACCCACACACACACACACACACACACACACAAAACATTTAAAATTTTGGGATCTTGTTTATTGATTGTAGCATATAGATTATATTTCAATTCCTTGATTGTTATCTAAAATTTATAAAAGCATAATGGAAGGGGGGAAACAAGAAGAAATTCAGGTACCTTTTTGTGCAGCAGGTGACTCTTCATCAAGCCCTTTAGATTTTAATCCAGGTCTAACTGAATCCAGCACAGAAAGACCGAGACGAAGGATTATTAACGTGATCCAACTCACCAAGATCATAGTTTTAAACATATTGTTCGGATTTCTTGGAAAATCACTGTGATTATTTTTTTTTTCTTTCTTTTTACTACATAATTTGTCCAGCTGTTAGATAGGCTTTAGTTTAACTCTCACTTTAACATTTGCTCCTTATTTCAGTATTTGTACCAGCAAAGTAGAGCCTTAATGTCCATACCGCCAAAACCTGAGACACTGCTCCACCCACAACCGACCGCCCTGACTCGAAGCCTTAGAACCTCCTGTGTCAGGATTACAGATCGCACCCTTTCCCTCTTTTATGAATCCGAAACCAAAAAACGCTGATGATGATGATGATGGAGTATACTGTAGCAGGTGTGGTCCGACGGCTCGTCTGCGTCATGCTCAGCAGCGTGAAGTGCCTTTGGCTGGAGACGGCAGTAGACTTTTCTGTTCTGATTCACTGATGGTTCCACGTTTCAGAGGAAGCTCTGTAGACGTAAATAAATAAACTGTAAGTTTGGACCTTTGCTTTTCTGGTGGCTGCGTAGCCAACAGAAAAACGAATATCTGAAGTTCGATATTTAAGGTATTTCTTTTTTTTTTTTTTAATGACAGTCAGCATCAGGATCCTCCTGGATGATCTGTTTAATTTCACAACGATATCAGTGGAATACAGTCTTATTCTTTTGGTATTTAATGGCAGTGTTTGCTTGTATTTGTTTTTGTGCTTCACATGTGACTGCTTCATGGAAGAAGAGGTTGCACACTCAGTGTAGTCTGGTGCCTCATTTGAATGAAATCTTTTTTTTTGGAAGACAAATAGTTAAACAGAGACCAATTTGAACATAAATCTTTACTGCTGGATTGTTTGTTCAGTTATCTACAGCGGTCTATTCAGGCATTGGGCCGGTGTGATAACCTCTAAGAAAAATACCAGTTTCACTATATTAAATTTAATTTTTTGTATTTATTTTTTTTTTAATTCAAAACTAAAGAGCATCAATTATTCCGTCTGCAGCTAGAATACAATAATATGCAGTGGATCTCAAATGTGTACACATCCCTATTAAAAAAAATAAATAAATTATGATACATATTTTTTATAGCAATTTCTTTAGATAATCTAACACCTACCTTTACAACTCAACTGAAAATATAACTGATCTGTTAGACAAAGTATAAAAATGCATTGACCTTGCTGCATACGTTTGCACACCCTAAACTAACATTGTTAGGGTGAATTAAACTTCAGCATTTGGTTTTCCTTGGTAGGATTCCCACATAATGACTTAAGAATATCTGCCCACTCCACTCTGCATAACACTGGTTTATCTTTTAACTCTAGTTAGGCATTTCCAAAACTTAAATTTTCTTAAGGTGAAAAATGACAGTCATTTTCATTTAGCAAATGTTGCGCATAAACTGATGGGTTTGCAAAAACCCAAGTCCAATCTGAAGACGACCAATCCCTTATCATTTTATTGCCAACACCATATTTCATTATAAGTAATGTGCGATTTGGTAATTGTTGTTATTTTTGTGATGCTTAGATTTGTTTGATCATTCTCCTTTTAATTGGACTTGGACTACTTTGGACTGCAGATCTTCTGCCCAGCATCCTGCTTTGCAGTACAAACCTTGATGTCTAATACAGATGAGCATTTATGTCTTGTTATGCTTCTGTTTTCCCATGGTGTTCATTGAATTTTTCCACCCTTCTCCTGACTCATACCTTCATACAATGACAGAATGGTGATCAGTTGTAGCCTTTCTACAAACTATAGCTTTAGCTAAAGAATAGAGATGCCAGAAACTCCCAAAGTGAAGAAAGGCGTAAAGTTAAACACGCTGAATACTGGAACTGAATCAAAAAGGTCATTTAAGTCTGCAAAGCATAATTATATAACCATTTGTTTTTGCGTTTTTCTCACATCTTTTCGGCGATCTCTGTTTTTCAGTTTAACTGTGCAGAGTAAACGTCAGATTAGATCTGAAAAAGGTTTTGAAAGGATTTATCAATTTCTTTAACATGTCAAAATGTCTTGCATTATATCCCGGGTGTGTACACTTTTGAAAACATCAGCATCTGATCACCTTCACTCTCTTTCTGGCATCTCAGTAACAATTTAAAATCTAGCAACAGTATAATGGGACATTTTAGCGTTTTTAAAACTAACAATTTAAAATAGTTGTATATTGTTACACAGGAAAACAACCCATACCCACTCAGTTCAGGGCACTTTTGAAGGTTTAAAGTCTAAAAGACAGCAGAGTTGGGCACAAACACAAAACTACAGTACAGTGCATGTATCATAAAAATGCCAGATTATTGCCAGATTCTTTAAACTGCGCAACAAAATTTTGTTTGGATCGGAAAGAGAACGTAGTTCAAATTAAAACATGAGGATCTCAGAAGTAAAGCTAAAAAGATAATGAAATAAATAATACATCCAGTGGCAACAGAGTAAATTATGTCCCATCAAAATGAAAAACTGCTCAGAGAACCAAAACCTTTTTATACAGCATAAAAGAAACACTTTTTTAAAAAATGCAAAGTATAAAATAAAGATTTGATAAACCAAATTATTTTATAGACTATAGTAAAAAAATGAAATAAATATAATAGAGCATAAACTTTGGGCCCAATCCCTTGGTGAGCCATTGCCAAATTTGTCCATAACAGTAAAAGTTGGAGTTTTTCCATTCATGCTGCTTTGGATAAAAGAAAGTTTGTTCAAAAGCGCAGGAAACCTAGGCTTTAATCTCCCCCGTGCACTTATAACACACTTTAACTATAATGTAGCTAAATTTCCATCCACAAACATCCTGCAAGGAAATAATTATATACATTTAATAAATTATTTGCTTATTATATAGGAACCAACTCCTATCAAAGCTGCATATGATCTAATAGAGACATTCATCTGATACCATGAGTTAGCTCAAGTCATGCAAGCAGTAAACATTTTCCTGAGGTGTCTGAATAGTTTCATTGGAAGCTGCTTCAGACGCTCACGAGTGTTAAAATTCCTCACAGACTTAGCAAATGTGTATTTTTATTTTTTTTTTTACCAATTTGAAAACATTTCCACCAAGCAAATGCTGAACTACCAAAATTTGAAGACGACAATAGATGCAATGTAAAAACAAGGACCAGAAGAGTGTAAATGTTTTTTTAAAAAAAAGAAAACTTTACAGGAGTTACATGGTTGCTTCCAGCTGCGATGGTCAGAAGTGTCCAGGAGATGCAGTGCTATGCAGCACAGGCCTCAAAGCTGAAATAATTATTTGCAATGACATCTGAAAGCCAGCCAGTCTGACCTTTCTTTCTATTTTTTTTTTGTTTTGTTTTGTTTTTAAATTTGTCTCTGTTAACCCTAAGACCTCTGTGGTTTCGACCCTCACTGAGTTTCGTCCCACGCTGCAGTAATTTGTTTGCAGACGGGCTAAAAGAGTCTTTCTGTTCCGGAGTCGACATGCAACACGTGAGCGCTAACCCTAGCAGGCGGCCTCGAAGCCGCTGATGCTGTTTGGACATAGCCTACCGCCTGCTTACCAAAGACGGTCGCGACGTGGGACAAAACACAGCAGACTAGCGGATGTCGCGGGAGGCCGCATGAGGCTAGAAGCTGCTTTATCTCGAAAGAAATGAACCTGGACCCATCCTAACATCTCAGTTGTGGAGGAAGTGCAGGAAGCAGGCCTCTCTAAACTGTGACTTCTTAAAAGAGGCCCGTTAGCAGTCGCTCAGCTGTTCACTGTGGAATACCTACTAATCATAACGGCACTAGAGGCTGACTCGGTGTGTGTATACTCCACGCCAGAAGGTCTCTGTGGAGTTTCTCAGTCATCGTTGTCCGTGTGCTTAATGTCGTCTCGTGTGTGTGTGTATGCGTGTGTGTGTGTGTGTGTGTGTGTGTAAGTGGGGCATTTATCTCCTATCCCGAACCACGTGTGGCACAGAAATCCCTGTCTGTAAATCAGCTCCAAAATGGCCTTGAAACTTTTCGCTCCGGTGCCCGTGCAGCGAGTCTGTCTGTTCACCGAGGGTTTCCAGAAGGTGCTTTGTATGAAAGTGACAATAACCTTTATTACAGATGTTGTGTATATCTTTGATATTCTGATGTTTATCCTATTTTGTGAAGAAGAGAGAACATTTAGAGAAAAAAAAAGGAAAAAAAAAATCCAGAAACTAGTTATATGTGTGTATGTATTGGTATTGCACAGGGTCTGATCTTTGCTTTGTAACTTTTATCCCCTTCATATGGCTAAAAGTATGTTAGATATTTTCTAGCTTTGTAGAGACTTTGTACGCATATGCTATTCAGTTTAAATAAATTGTCAGTTCTAAACTGTGACTTTGCTTTATTTATTCGTTGCTTTTTTAATATTTTCTAAAATTAAGGGAAAATTAGCAACATTGATCTCTAGAAGGGAAATCCACTCTCTTTCAACTCAAACACTGGTGTTCCAAAAGACTTAAATGTGACTCAAAGCATTTCTTTAAGTTGAAGCCCACGTAGATTTCATAGAATAAGAAACAAGTGTTAATTCAACCGACCTTTCTATATTTCCTCTCTCCATCGACGACAGACGGACTTTGACTGAGGCTTTGCTGAAGATTTCCTTTCCAGCTAATCTGTTGTGGAGTAGCTGTTGTGTTAATGACCAGTTTGGACCAGGCAGGCTCCAGCTCTCTCACGTCTGACTCTTTAGTTTACAGAGGAGTTTTACAGTGGACTTAATGACTGCAAGGTGGCCCAGGTCCTGCGGCTGTCAACAAGCCCTTATCATCAGCAAAACTGATGACGTTGTGTTTGACTCTAATGAATTTTCATTTTTATCCCGCTAACCGATGCCTGCAGAGTCTTGGATGGGGCCTGTGGGTATTTGTGTCCTTTCTCTGAGTGTTGCACGGTCTGACATTGGGATGAATCTGAGGAGACATCCACCCCTGGGAAGACTGGCAGCTGTCATAAATGTTTTCCACTTGTACATAATCTCACTGAAACGCAGAATGATGGACCTCAAATAGCTTGAAATAGCCACGACCTTATAACTTTTCCCAGATTAATGAACTTAATCAGACTTGATCAAGTGTGTGTGTGTGTGTTTTTTATTTTGTATGCTTAAGATCAGTTATACACAATTTAAGAACCTGGTAAGGACTAGATACCATTTTTGTAAGTTAATGTATTTTTACGTGCTTTCTTCTTGGAACTACTGTATATTTACAGAATTGTGTTTTAGGTTTAAATTTAGAAGGAATAAAGGAGGTCAATATTTTACTTCACTACATTTATTCACACCCGTTTATTTATTCACGGTGTTTCTTTAGAGATACTCTGCATCTCTAATTGAACTGTCCTGATCTTTAACAAAACGGCAAAAAAAAAAAAAATCAAAGTACAATCATCAAAAAAACTTAAACAGGCATCATTTGCACTAAACTGAAATGCTTCAGGATGTGTTTAAAAAACCTGGGGTTCCTTTTAGAGCAACAAAAATTTAATTATAAAATTTAAAACTAAGATTCTAATATTGAAAAAAGAGAGAGAAAAGCAGTCAACATGCAACGTTTATACACGGAACCAGTGAAAAGTTTGAACACACCTTCTCATTCAATTCAACTGGAAATTGGGACCAAACTTTTCACTGGAAGCACACGTTCATTATTTAGAGAAAAAAACAACAACAACAACAAAAAAAAAAAAACATTTGAATGGTTCTCAACTACTTTAAATTTACTTATCCAAACCCTTGTCCAAACTTGTCTCCAACATCTGGAGCCAGGCATCCTGTAGAAACCAGACTGAGACTCAATAAACAAATTAGAAAAACACCAAAACAAACTCTGGAGTTGGTTAGAGTGGAAGGAAACGGATTCGTGGAAAGAATCTCTTCTGACATGCAATGCCCTGTTCTGACAGCAGAGTGCGCTACAGCGAAAGAATTAGAACTCCATTGTTTTCATGACGTGAGATTTAAAACACCAACTTCTTTGCAGACTTTCACTGTAACAAGTGTAAGCAAATTTCTGACAAATATGTTATGCAACTGAGTGTATGTTTTTATATTAGCTTTGATTGATTGATTTTTTTTTTAAAATCGGAACTTTTTTTAAATTAAGCATTTATAACAAAACAACAAAATAACAACTTTAGAACATTTTTAACCAACTAAGCTTCGACAGCCTGATAGTAGTCTTCATGAAGTCTGCTTCCTTGGTCTTGTTTATTCTATTGACATTTCAGGCTCCAAACCTGACAGCTAATAATAGATGCACAGGTCATACATGGTGTGACCTCACAGGAAATGAGATCAAAGACAGGAAAAACGTTCTGCTCTCTCTCTCACTCTCTCTCTCACACACACGCACGCACACACACACCTACACGCGCACACACACACACACACACACACACACCCACACACACACCCCCCCCCACACACACACACACACACACACACACACACACACACACACACACATCCCAGACGCAGCAACGACAATCCTCTTAATCCAAATCTACTGTTTGTAATGCATGCCTGCTCCACACGCGCCGCTCTGGGTAATACTGTCTGCCCGTGTCTGATATGTGAATGCGTCCTCCCCTCTCTGCATGTGTGTTCACATTCCCAGGTGGTTTTCTAAGCACTTTATTTACCAACAAACCCAGCCTGAGCAGAGGCTCCAGAACACAAACATTAATGCTGCGTGTTGGGGATAGATGCACACAGACACCAGAGCCGGATCACTTAACGCAGAACATATTCTGCTCTTAAACAGCGGATTACCGTTTCAGATATTATGCGAGAGCTCTGCAGGGAGTAAAAGATGGACTTCCTTTGGCTTCTCAGTCGGCTCAGTTGAGCTGATAAACATTCAGAGATAAGATTATAAAGATGAAGCTGCGTAACAATGCACGCTGCAGATTTAAGGTTTTCCCATCAATCCAATGTTACTTTATTTGCTTCTAACCCAGAATCATCAGGTTAGTCATTTAAAATTGAAGTCGGCTAAAGCTCTTACAAAACATGTATATGAAAGAACACTCCAAATCTTGTACTACTGACTAATTTAGCAACTAATTTCAATAAATCTATACCAGTGAGAACATGAAGACATTACTTGAGAAAACAGTTTTGAAAGCATAACTGTACATTTATCCAAAAGAGATTAAACAACCTTCGAACTGTGCAAAAAAAAAAAAAAAAAAGTAGATCATCTCAGGCAAATGTGGCTCCACAAATCATCACTGACTGTGAAAACTTTACACTGGACACTTTGCTTCTTGAATTCTGCATCTCTGCTCTCTTCAGTCAGACTCTGGGGTCTTGATTTCCAAATGAAATGCACAATTTACTTTCAGCTGAAAATAAAAGGACTTTGAAGCACTGAAGAACAGGCCTGTAGCCCTTATACCAAATGACATTACTCTGGCATTGTTTTGTGCTCATGAATGAATGAATACAAGGAATGTGACAATTATAGCCCGTGCCCTGCATACATCTGTGTGTTGAATCTTGAGGCTATGACTAGAGCTGCAGTTCACGCCTTGTGAATCTCACCGAAATCCTTCAATCGACTCACAATTCCTTCAAGACTGTGGTTCTCAACATTGGTTGTGACTCCCCCCCTCCCCCTTATTTTTTTCCAATTAAGTTTTTCTTTCCACTAAACTTTCCACGGACTGACTGATTGGTTAGCAGCTTTTCCAATAACTGTGAAGCTAAAACACATATCTGTATGAAAATATTTTATTAATCTTCTTCGATATTAAAATATATTTTCAGTTGTTATTAGTTGTGAGAAATAATCATCGGTTAAATGAAATACCTCAACCAGATCATTTTGTGAGTAATAAACCTGTATGAGATTAACGTTTCAATTGTATTACTTAAGTATTTTATTTTATTTTATTTTTATTTTTTTTGTGAAGCTACAGTTTATTTACTTAACTTTAACAGTTGTCACACAGGATGTTTTTTTTTTATTTTTTATGTGCACCACTAATGTGCATGGAATCCCGTTATTATTTATTTATTATTTTTAAACCAGAGTGGCGGAGACGGGGTTCCGTAAATACGCATTAAAAGAAACGATAAAAACACCGCAGTAAGATATGATGAACTCTGTGTTGAGCCTGAAACAGGCCAGCTTTTATTTATTCAGTTAAAAACAAACGGAAACAAAAGGCACCTCTGATAATCTGAGGTTTCTGTAGGATGATCAGTGGGCAGAGAGCGAGGAGGAGGGGGGAGGCGTGTCCCGGCAGCTCCAGCAGCCTCCTGCTTCTGTCCCGCACATCAGAGCCGCCTGTCCCGACGCAAGGACGCTGTTCTCCTCCTCTCCTCTCCGGAGCAACAGCAATCTGCCCCTGGGGAGAGGAACGAGGACCCGGCATGCAGACACACCGCTGAAAGGACCGGGACGGGATATGATTTTTATTTATTTATTTTTTTATTTTTTGCTGAGAACTTTTAATGATTCTTTAAGAAGATGCAGGTTTTCCTCAATGATCAGTTAAAATCAGCAGAGGAGGCGCTTCAGCAACCCATCAACTGGAATTACTAATATAAACACAGAAACTTCTGTAGCAGAAATTCACTGGGAAACTTTCTTGTCTGTGTTTTTTGGAGATGGAGCCCGAGGAGGGGAAAGTCTCGGTATGGGTCTGCCGAGAGGAGAAGCTGATCTCCGGGCTGACTAAACGAACCACCTGTGCCGACGTTGTGAGGGTTCTGCTGGAGGACCAGAACCTGCAGCAGGGCGCCGCAGCCGCGATGCTGTCCGGCTCTCCGCAGTCCTACTGCGTGGTGGAGAAGTGGAGGGGCTTCGAGAGGATTTTGCCCAACAAGACCAAGATCCTGCGGCTGTGGAGCGCCTGGGGAGACGAGCAGGAGAATGTCCGGTTCGTCCTTGTGAAGAGCGAAGCTTCGCTGCCCAACAACGGGCCCCGCAGCGCCGAGGCGCGGGTCGTCCCGAGCCGGGAGAGCGGCGGCCCGGGTGGGCTGCTCAAGGGCACCGCTAAGAGCTGCTGGGTCGCCGCGGCGGCTGCTGCCAACATGTCCCAAGAGAAGCAGAGGCGCATCGTCCGGAAGGCCTTCAGGAAGTTGGACAAAATGAACAGAAAGAAGGAACAGACAGTACCTAAGGATAAAAGTTCAGTGGAGAAGATGGAGACCCTGGTCCACTTGGTGATCTCGCAGGATCACACCATCCGGCAGCAGATCCAGAGAATCAAGGAGCTGGACCGGGAGATCGAGCGGTACGAGGCCAAAGTGCACTTCGACCGCATCAAGAGACACGGGGTGAACTACGTGCAGGACACGTACATGGTGGAGTCCTCCGCGGAGAGCCCGGCTCCATCCGCGGACGGGAAGCGCAAAGCGGAGCGCCAGGACGTGCGCTGCACGGCGGAGGCGCTGGCGCAGTTCGAGGAGTACGCGCGCCGCTGCGAGGAGGTGGTGCGGCTGCAGGAGGAAGTGACGGAGCGGGAGGCGCTGGTGGAGAGCATCACCGGGGAGATCCAGGAGGAGCTGAACCGGCGCTGGATGAGGCGGCGGCGGGACGAGGGAGCGTCGGAAGATGCGCAGGACACTGACAGCGCCGCGGAGGAGATGAGCCTCTGCGAGCCCTCGGATCCAGCCGTGGAGCCAGATGTGGAGAGCCTGTCAGAGAACGAGCTCCTGCTGGAGGAGGAGAGGATAAAAACCCAGCTGGACACGAGTCTGTACATCGGCCTGAGGCTCAAGACGGACCTGGACGCCATCAGAGGGGACCTGGACCTGAGTCTGGCACTCTGGGAAACCAAAGAGAGCGAACTGTTGGACCTGCTTGCCAAAGTTGAGACCATGGAGCTGGAGCAGGCGAACAAACAATTGACTGACGATGAAAAGGAAGAACTGCCTGTGAGCCGTGCAGAGGCTGACCCGGGGTCAGTGGAACAGAGCACGGGTTGGGTGGAGCAGGCTAGAGGTCTGTCAAAAGCCTGCAGCATCAATGATGAGGATTCGGACACGGGCCTGAGCTCAATGCACAGCCAGGACTCCGACAACCCTCCCGTGTGTGAATCACTGGTGTAATGCATCTTTGTGTCGCAGCATCTTAGGTTTTTATGCAGTTCAGTGAGACAAACTCAGTGGCATCGAGAGAAATCAGCCTTGGCTTCCTGAAATATATATAAAAAACACATCTCTGTGTGACACTGCAACTCTACAGCAATAATCTCTGTAAGCTTAGACAGGAAAGCATGTGTAGTAGAGGCTTGGTAAGATGTGCTGCTCCATAAGCTGATCTCTGGCCTCCATCTTGGGTCAAAATAGCATAATTTATTAGAAGAAGTAGCCTGGAGGAGTGTTATAACTATTAGCTTAGAATCCATTGTCCTGTAACAAGTGCTGAGATGAACATGATCACAGTTCACAGTGTGCTATAATGGCGATGGACAGCAGCTTTGATGTAAGAGTCAAAATCGGCTGTGATGTTTATTTCAAGATATATTGGCATGTCAGCTGCAAAGGTGATAAAAACAGATCCAAAGAAAACAGTCATTTCAAAATAACAGTAAACAAATCACCACTTGCTGTTTCATATTCTGAATGGTGGAAACTTTGGAAAGACAAACTTGTAAGTTTCACAAATTTGAATAAAAACACCATTGTTTACATATCCTGCTAAGCAAAACTGAAGGTTCACGTAATTATTATTTTTTTTTTGTGTCTATTTTTCTTTGGGTAACAGATTATTATGGGATAGATATGAGGTTCTCTTAGAATGCTCACCTGACTTAAATTATTTTACTTAAAGCAGAAAGTTTACCCTACTGCTGTTCAAACAAGGTATTTAAGTACCTTACTTCTACATATTTTGACTCCAAAGCGTAGATTCAGTAAAAATAGAAAAATAAAACAACCTAATAACCACCTTTTGGACTTAAAGTTAGTTTTTGTGTGCAGAAATACTAACAAACTACCAAATTTTACATTCTTATTAGCATTGAGAAAGCTGAGAGCCTTTCTTTTAGCCAGCTGACTGGTTTTGGGCAGTAACAGGTGTTGGGAGAGAAAACTCCAGTGGTTCTGGCACTTTCTCTGGTCTCTTAATAAAAGGACTTTGAATCAGTTTTAGAGGTTTTGAAACATTTTACAACCTTGACAATGGCCCATGTTTAATCATAAATTTATTTTTCTTTATTTATTAATGTGCCTCTTTTACTGGTCAACTGTCTAAAAATTAAACACTTATTTTTTGACACAGTATGCCAAAGAACCTTTCACTCTTAAAAAAAAAGAAAAGCAAGAATTAAATTCTGCATATTTTATAGCTAAATTTATATCTCAAATCATCTTAATCCAAAAAAGAAGGTGTCTCCTTGCTTTTATTTCCATCATTAAAGTTATGCAGGAAACAAAAGGAATAGAATTTCATCAAAAGGTAAAAGGAAAAAAAAAAGTTATAAACTAGTGATGATCAATATTTTGAACATATATTTTAATGATGTTATATGGGATGATAAAAAAGTGTAAAAAAATACAAATTCAAGTCCAATCACAGTTTGCAATTGGGACATTTTTCTTTAGTGAGCTCTGATCGGTGACTGGCAGGTCAATTAACAAGTCAGATTATATTCCCTGGTCATTAAATGCATCCAAAACTCAATAAAAACTAAACACTTATTAGATGAAGACATGAAACTAGACAGGTAAACAGTGCCTGGGTTTGATCATATTCTGAATCACAGCCTTTATCAGAGACCAACAGAGATTAAAGTAGAAAAACAGACAAAACAGCAAAAGCATGCAACAATCGTAACAATTGCTTTCATTAATTTATTACCATCACAAAATAAATATTTTTTGTAAATTCTTAACTTCCTCCCCACATTTCTCCCATCACTATAGTGAATAATTATCTCATATATAAGTTCACCGTGGTTAAGAGTTGATCTAGTTGGTCATTTTTATATTAATTGTAAAAAGTTAGCATATTCAACCTAGTTCAGTTCAACTATATTGTAAATTGTCTCTAACCATTCGTGACTAGCAAAGGAAAAGGTTTAAAATGAAACAGATTGCTAGTGATTGAAGCAGAGATCTCATATCTACCCCCCATTAAGATCCATAAACTGTGGATCCTACATTTCACGATTTTGAGACCTTCGATCAGAAGACCCTCTGCCTAACTTTTTAAATCCCACGTCACGGTTTGTCGGATCAACTTTAGATCCCTCCGATGACGTCATCGGGCCGATGGAGACGGAACACATCATACACCTATTTTATTTTATTTATTTATTTATTTTTTTCCAGACTGGTTTTAGCTCTCCCGACGTTGAACACTAGTGGGTGAAACTGGCGCAGCGCTCCTTTAAATCCGTTTTTGGATTATTGTTGTAACATCAGTTCGGTTGCTCTAAAGGGCTTTGTTTCCATGTAAAGCTTCTTAGTCCACCATAATCAATGTGGGCCAAGAAGGCAAGGCTTTTTTTTTTTTTATATATATATATATATATCAAGGTTCAGGTCAAAGAATTGTTGCTCCTTTTGTCACAGAAATGTTGTGTAGCGCGCAGTGAGACGGCACGTCTCCGCGCTCGTTATCTAGTGTGTCGTAAGCAGACCCACGTGAACATTTTGGGACGTTAGTTTAGAGCAGACTGACACGACGGAAACTGTTACACTGACTTACAGGAGCAACGCTGCGTCTGAATCCTTACGCCGCTGCACGTGCAAGTCCTTCTGCGAGTTCAAACACCTGTAAGAGAATTGGACTTTCGAGATGCTTTCTAGAACAGACCCATTTAGTAATCCTGCAGTTGCTGCATGTCTGAACGCTGTGACATTAAGGAGAACTATTTTCAGCTATGGTTCACTTTTTTTTTAACCCTGAGAATAGATGCTGCAGAAAAGTGTTCGCTGTGATTTCCAGCCGAGCTGGCTCCTCTGAGACCTGCACAGACAACAAGCATCGCAGCAGAAGTGATTCATCACTTTAAGGTCTTACTTCAGTAAAAAAACAAACAAAAAAAAAAAAACATAATTTACTTTGTATGTCGTCAGGATGTTGTGTTGTCAAACTTATATGTCTGACTGTTCAACTGTAAATGTGAGCAATATTATTTTTGTGACGATTAGATTTAAAAAAAAAAAAAGATGATACTGTTCCTGTGGAGTTACCAAAAATGAGCTAATTTATGTCTCTTGATCAGGGACTCTTTTGGCATCTCACTGACATTCATATTTCTTTTTCTATATATTTGCCACCTAGTTTAGTAACTCTGAAGTAAAAAAAAACAAACACATTCACTGTGGAGGAAGGATATCACCACTCAGCTGTTAGAGTTGAAATAAACGGCAACATCTGAATTTGTGTCTCATTTTATTCATTATGACCTCAGGGATCCGACGCGTTCATATGAAAACACTCCCCCCCTTTGCAAGAACCAACTTTCTGGAATTCCCAGGTTTTTGTGTTCAGCTTAAAATGTAAAATGCTTCAGCTCATTCAAAGTTTATGAAAAATATTTATATGGCATGCAGGGTTTACATATGTAATCTGCAAAAAAACAACAAAAAAAAACAAGTGAAAAGGAGGCAAGGAAGGAAGGAGGATGCTATGAGAAAGGAAGGACATATGAATAAACAAAAGAAGGGCACCAGGGAAGAAGCAAAAAAAAAAGACAAGGAAGGAGCAAAGGTAAGAAAAGAAGGATGGACACAACAAAGTAAGGGGGAAGATACAATGAAGGAAGGTTATGAGAAAGCAAGGAACCAAGGTCATAAGGAAGGGAGGAATGAAAGAAGGAAATGAAGCACAAGGAGGTTAGAAAATTGTATCAAGAAGGACGGAGGGAAGGAAGAACACAAGGAAATCAGCACAAAGGAGGAGGGGCATAGTCTTTAGACAAATTCTGATAATGAAAACATTTTCTCATCCTCTATACGTTTCCAGAGCTAAAAAACAGTGAACTCAAATTCCATGCTCTTGCAGACTGCGTCGGATCTCTGTGACGCAGAGCTTCACGGACAACCCCCTGATTTTTTTTAAATGGTTTGCTTGTGTGTGTTTTTAAATGGAAAAATGATTTGCATACATCATGGCTGCAGGGGCTGACGTTTACAAGGTGTGCATCTCTGGCTTGTTTGTGTGACATACTGTATTGTGCCACTCCTTTCCTGCCGTGTCGTCTCACTCATTATGCCTGCTTGTGTTGAATCGCTGCTCGGTGATTGCTCTTGCATAATCCTCTTGCATTAATTATGAGAAGTTGAAACAGAGACGTAAATGTACAGAACTGAACTGTACGGCTCATGTTACAACTCAGTAACGCATCCCCTTCGTCTGTTCCTCAGGGGTCAGTTGTTCCACTTTAGAAGTATGCTCTCCTGTTGTCCAATTTGTTGCTATGGTGTCAGGTTTTCTTCATACATGTATTGCATCAACAGAGTTGGACGGAGCAAGGTTTTGGCTAGTTGCAGAGCAATAGGTGTTAGTAATTTTGGTCATTCCCCCTTTCGCATTTGTGCAGTCACTCAAAAATAAATAAAATTAATTATTTAATTGAACTTACTTTCCACAAGATGATTCACAGTGACTATTGATCAATTCATATACTTCTCATCTGTGTTTTTGTTAATAAATCCTTTCAAATGGTTGTTTTGGTTAAACTCACCCACATCCTAGAATAGATTTTTCGTAAAAAAATAACAGGAAATCGTCATTATATTAGCAACTCTTTTGCATGTTCTTTTGTATCTAGATTCAAAAAGGGCACAACGTTGGCTACAAATTTCCAATCTTTAAGAAATGTATATTCATTAGTCACATTTTTAAGTCTGTCTTGTCAATACAACGTCGGTACTTGTTTTGACTTCAGACCTTCCTTGATTCATCATGACACAAACTCAACAAGGCCTTGGAAACATTCCTCAGAGGTTTTGGTCAACATTGACATGTTAGCATTACACTATAATTGTGTATCGCAAATCCTTGATGTGAATCTCCAGTTCTACCACATTCCAGAGGAGCTCCAATGGAGTGAGAACTGGTGACCGTAGAGGAGTAGTAGAGTACAGTGAACTCGTCATCACGTTCAGGAAGTTAATTTGAGATTATATGAGCTTTGTGACATGCTGCATCTCCCAATTAGAGGTAGCCAACAGAAGATGGGAGCACTTCCTGAAGGGATGCACAGAGACGGTCAGCAACTAGTGTGGTGAGAAAATATGCTTCACTTGAACTATTATACCACCACTACCACCAGCAGCCTTAACTTTTAACAAATGGTTAGATATATTCATGTCATGTCGTTTCCTCCAAACTCTGATTCTACCATCTAAATGTCACAGTTGAAATCAAGACTCATCTTAAAATTTCTTTTTTTTAATATCTCAACGTCCAGTCTTGGCGAGTCAGTGTAAACTTATACCTCAGTTTTTTATTCCTTGCAGTGTGTTTTTCTGCTCGTGTAGTCCATCTGCTCCAAGTTTCAATGGTTAGTGTCCAGAGAGGTTGAATTTTTGCCTCCTTGGCAATGTTAAGCCACAAGTTTTCATTTAAAACTCCGATCTGGTCTACTCCTGGAAAACTACTCAAATTCTTGAAATTCTTGCCTGAATAAAGCCCCGTGCAGACCTCACAGCTCTAATTTGAGACTGGAGTTGTTTTAGGTGGCTGAAACCTATTTTGGTGTTGGCCCCTGGTTGACTGGCTGTTACTGGGTGGCCAGGTTTTGTTGGCAATTAACCCAAGGCTCATATTAAAAACCCTGAAATATCCCTTTAAGTGCTCATGGGAAGCTCAAAGATGTTAAAATGACAACTAAATTAAAAGCTCTGCAGGAGGATTTGGCTTCCAGCATAAACTCTGAGCTATGTCAGAGTCAGCGCAACTAGATGTTTAGTTACACTGTAATGACTGAAAGGAGCTCGGCTCTTTGAAGTATTTAAAGTGGATGAACTGCAAATACCGTAGGAGTCTTGAAAGGGGCTGAAGTGTCATTCAGAAAGAGTGCTACTTAAGCATCGACTTTTAATGAAAGGAAAACCCGAACAACTGAATGATGAAAGAAGGTCAAACGTCAATTGTCAACTAAAAGACGAAAGCAGGTACATTTGTTTATCTAGCAGAACCTGGGAATTACCTCGATTAGTGGAGATATTTATGGAACTGTGTGGTTGAAGGGGGAACGGCTCAACATTTAACAAAAATGCACAAACTGAACACCTTAAATCTTCTAAATCCAAAAACAAAGAGCTTCATAAACCCGCTGAAACAGAGTTTGACTCTTGTGATGAAGATGCCAAAACAAAACTTACTTTTGTCCCCCAAAGGGACTATACCTCAGAGTTCAGTCTACTGACATCCCACTGATCGCTCTTGTCTGAATAATGTCACTCGGTACACTTGCTGCTGTCCAATACTTATTATAACTCCATTATTAAACCCTTCCAGGTTCTCACTCTTGTACTAATCAGTTCTATAGATAGTTCTATTGTTAATCTACCTGTTTCAGACTGAAAAACATTGAGTGCGATCCAAGCTGGGAACTGATAGCTACTTTCTCCTGCGACATCAGTAACAGCTCCTGGTTCAGTTACATAGTCAGGTTCATTTAATATGAGGTCATTCTTCTTCACTTCCTGATCTCACGACAGAACTCCTCTTCACTTACAGTGACTGGCAAAGTATTCCTCCCCCCCTTAAATCTTTCCAGATTTTGTCGTAATACAATTGCAAACTCAACTGTAAGAGGACGTAAAAGTATCCACGGCGTTCATGTTTTATAAAATCTAAGTCAATACTGAAGAAACCTTTTGGTGAAATTACAGCTGCAAGTCTTTTAGGGTTCGTCTGATCAAGCTTTTATCACCGTCTCTCGGTTTGCTGTGTCATCTACACGAGTTGTGCAACTTGTGGCAAACTGCAAATAGGATTTCTTAAAATGACGATCTTTTCAACTTTCAGATTGGCAGCTTTCGTCCTGCCAATCTTCTCGGGAGGCCAGACAAAGGGAATGCACAACTCAGTCGCTCTGTGGACAGAGACATCTTGGCTGCTTTTCTGATCAAAACTTTTCTTTGAATAGTTTCTCAGTTTAGGTGGTCAAGTCTTGCCAGGTTTTTCACTTTGTGTTTGTTCCCTTATGTTCTCTAACATTAGCAAACTTCTGACAAACCTCCAATGCATTCACAGAACATCTAGATTTATACTGAGATTAAGTTACACACAGAAGCAATTGGCTAAGTTCTCTCTAAAAGCAAATGGTTGCTCTAGATTTTATTTAAGAGTATAAAAGTAAAGAAACTAAGTCCAAATTTGCTCCACAGTTTTCAGATTTTTAACAATTTTAAACTGTTCTGTACCTTGTGCTGGTTATGTAAAAATACCTAACATGCATGAATCATTTGTGAGAGGAACTTTGTTTCTGCTCTACCGCAGAATAAGTCACCCACCCTCGAAAGAGTTCAGTGTTATTTTACACCGTGGCTAAAACACAAACAGTGTCCCTGTCTGCAGCGACTCTTTTTCCAACCCATTCTCCAAACAAGCTATTGTGTTTCTAACCTCTTTGGTGCCATGCTTGGCACTCGCACTGGGAGACCATTCATTTCAGTCAAAACACTGGAAATGATGCAAGTTAACATTTAGACTGGAAGAAATCCGTTCTATGCATGTGTGAGCAAAATTAAAAGGAGCAAAGATAAAGAAAGAGCGATGCAGATAGATTATGCAACCTTGTTTGATGATTTTTATGTGTGTGCGAGAGTGTCAGACCCCCTGGTGTTTTGTTTGGCAGAAACAGTGATGGGTGGTGTGAGGCTAGTTAGCAGCAGCTGCTCACACCAAATAACACCACGGTTTATATAATCAGACTCGTAAACACAAGCTGCTGGGAAGTTAGGGTCATTGTGTGTATCTTGGTCCAGTCTCAGCCAACCGCTTATGGTCACATGGACAGTATACATGCACTGTACGGCCAAAAGGATTCCCTAAGCCAAATCATTGGATCCAGGTGTCCTAATCGTGTTAATGGCCACAGGGCAGCTTGACATGCAGACTGCTTCTACAAACAGTTTTGAAACTATGGGTCGCCCTCAGGAGCTCAGTGAATTCCAGTGTGGTTCCATCATAGCAATAAGTCCAGTAAAAAATTCCCTCACTGGTTATTCCCAGATCAGCACTTAGTGCTACTAGAACCACAAAAGAAGCTATTGGGAATGGCAGCAACTCAGCCACAAAGCAGTAGGCCATGTAAACTCAGAGAAAGCCCAGAGTGCATGTACAGGTCATGAACTTTCTGCCAAGTCAAATGTGACAGATTTACAAACGTCATATGATCTTCAGAACTGGTTCATAAAAGGGTTTCCACGATTGAGCAGCTATACCCAATCCCTACATCCAGTGCAATGCAAAGCGTCAAATTGGACTCTAGAGGAGTGGAGACGTATCCTCTGTAGTGACAAATCTCACCTTCTTCTCTTCTTCTACAACGGGAAACTCTGTACACGAATGATGCATTTGTATCAGTGAAATCAAGCTTAGACTGCTTGGACATCGTTGCCCCATATCCGTTTAATTCATAGGGATTTTTTAAACCGCTCCTGGGAATAGGCCGCACCTCCCAGGAATTATTCCTTGGTGACTTGTTTTGTTGAAGCATGTGATGTTTGGAGGCACTTTGTGAGTTAGATTTCTTAGCCATCATAAAACACATCTTTCCACGATCATAAAACGGATCCCAGGGCAGAAATTACATTTGACATATACATTTGTTCCTTTTATCTCTTCGAGACAAACAATGTCACCTGTTGTGGCACTTAAATCAAATTGGCCTGCATTCAACAACTGGTACCATCAGAAGAATCTACAGAGTTACAACTCAGTCTACGTTGTCTGAAACTCTTCCTGTGTGGCAAGCTCCACTCTTGCTTTTTCAAAAGTAGGGATGTGTACAACAAGGCAAAACATCAGAACCCCCCAATCATATCAGGAGCTTCTGTCAATAGAATTTGTTTGCAAGATCAGAAGTGGTTGGTAAAAACCAGGTTCTAGAGCAGAGCGAGGCACTGATGTTTTCGTCCAACATCAGTGCTCGACCTTACAAATACGGTTGTATAATCTCGAAAATACAAAATCTTAAGTCTCATTGACAGAAAGGTTGGGTCACTGTTACGTTAAAGCCCTTGTATTAAGAATGTGTGCGCAAAAAGAGGGTAATTAATAGTATGAACGACACATTAATTATAATTGACAGATATTTTACATTTTGCATTTCAAAATGGAAGACGTTATCTTTGTGATTTGTGATTGACTTCACTTAGTAAATTATGCATTTCATACGCATATTTTAATCACGTATTTGTCGTCAGGCTTATTGTTTTTTTTTATTATAATATGCAGGAGTGCTTATGAAAGCAAGAGAGCAGAGCTGTGATGCAACATTGTTATGTGGAGTGAACTGAAAATCTCATCAGAAACAAAAACAAAACAAAACTGCAACTCAAAAAACACGACACAACAAAGAAAGGCTTTCAACTACACAGCAAACTAAATAAGTGTTTCCCCCCTGGGCTGATGACATGAATACACAAACAGCTGTCCAGACTGGACAAAAGAGGATAGCGTTCTGAAGCGTGTGTGTGAGTGCACGTGAGATTTAGTTAATCCCCAATGACAGCTTGCAGACAGACAGGACTGTGTGTGTGTGTGTTTTGTGTTTGTGATCTAGCATAGGGCCACACTGAGCTTTGTCTGCCTTCTAAATCAAAGTCATGTCATATTAAAACAGATCCAATGGGAGGTTTGGGAAAGAAGGAAACGTAATCTAAATGCTGGCCGAACTTTCAGCCTGCAATTTGGATTCAAGAGCATAAATCTAGAAAAAGAAAATTGGGGGATTTTGCAACCAATCAGCATTCATTTACCCTCTGCCTTTGTGAGTGTCGGGGACACCATCGGTCACACAGCTGCTGACAGATGCGGCTTAATTTTTGTTGCTGGTTATTTAAAACACCTTGTCAGCAGCTTATCCCTGTTCAAATTAAGTCCTGAATAAATCTCTAACAGAATTATGTTGGCAGTATCAGGCAGATGGGAAACTCTGATAGTCTGATATTATGTGTTTGACCTTACCAAGATTTCGTGTTGCTGTACTGTTGTGCTAGTGTGAGTCAGTTTCCACGATGAGTGATATGTCCACTATTCACTCCTCTGTACAGGCATCAAGCATGCTTTGAGCAGACTTTAAAATGTTCAGTGAGGAAATCCTGCTGTGGATCTGGGAAGATTTCCCAGCGCTTCACTTTTTCCACATTTGATTATTCCAAATTCTATTAAATCCATCGTTCCTCTTTTTTTTTTTTTTTTTTACACAAATACACCTTTAAAGCAATGTGGAAAAAAGAAAAAAAAAAGATGCCTCACAGCATCTTGCTCTGTATGAAGTTTGCATGTTCTCCAAGCAAATACAGGTCCTCTCTCAGCTTCAAACACAACTATCAAGTTTATCGGCTTTTTAAAATAATTTAATAAGGATATAAATCATTTGGCGCAGTATTTAAAAAAAAAAATTAAATCAATTAATAATAAATCCTTTTAAATTGACAATCATTTTATGTTTTATTACATTTTCTTTAGAGAAATCTCAAATCCAATCAGAAATAAACTTCTGATTGTAAACTAAAAACTTTCATTTTAATCATTAACAGGAAACAAGAAATTTGAGAAACATCAAAATATTTTATTGTGGAAAAACAGCAAAATAACTAAATTTAGCGTTCATGGAGGTTCAGTGGTGTTTCATGGACGAGAACAGAGCAGCAACTGCCCTCCCCCCCAATCCCTCCTCCGTCATTAACCTTTCCTTGAAGCTTATGCAGAGCATTGACCCCTGAGTAACAAAACCACTGGGCTTGTGATTTATTGTGCTTGTCAGCAATATTATTTATTTAGACAGGTTCTAACACCCAAACTCAATGCATCTAAATCTACATCTACAATAGAGCCAACCTCTGACAAGTGAGTGTGCGACTATGATCATAAATCATGAGAGAGCAACAGCTTGTAGATCCTGGGCTGTTCAGCTGATGTCAGACTGCATTAACTCACAAGCTGATGAGGCAAACATTAATTTGTTTTGAAGAGCAATATGCACTGGAAATACTGAGCCAGTCAACTCATATCAGTGGAACTGGCAGTTTTTACAATTAAGAGTACGGACAGCAAAGACAAAAACAAACGGATAGCAAAAACAAATACATTTGTTTTTTTAACAAAACAAATGTATTAATGTAGCTTACAGCTACTTGTGTGTTTGCTTTCTGTTGTTTTCAATAACCTCCCTTTGTCCATCATAAGATATTAAATCTTGTACGTTGGCAGCATTATTGCTCAGAAACCTGTTTAACCTTTGCCACAGGGATAAGTGCAACAAGATTCGGATGATTTAATTTTTCTAAAACTTTCCACGGCGCAGTGGATGTTATTGCAGGATGACGGATGCTCCGTCCCGTCTAGTAAAAGTGTTGCGTTTACTTTAGGCGCTTTTCCACTTGCAAGTCTCGTTACATAATGTTTTCTTCCACCCTAGTGGTGAGCATCTCCATTACACTTCGTTCCTTATGAGTGTGCAGCGGCTGTGGTCAACGCGCAGCTTGTTCTCAGTGGCACTTAGCAATGGAGAACCTCGAGATTGTGGTTCTGATTGATTCAAGCGAACCCAGACATTTCATTTCATTTCAAAGAAATCAATTGGTGGCCCTGAAAATAATGATAAAAACTCAAATCAGCTTTAGTTGGATTCTAGTTCTGATCTTGTTAAATGAAAACAGACTTGTTAAATTCAATCCCTGCTGCCAACTTGTTTGAAAGGTATGTTTACAGCACTCTTGCACACTTTGCATTTTTAGCTTCATTTGTCATTACAGCACTTGTAAAAAGAGAAACACCTCAATTAGGAACCAGCTCTTTGAGTCATAAAAAGTGGGCTGGTTCACACAGAATTTTCCTTTCTGCGTGAGAAAGGAGGATTTCATAACTCATCAATATACTGTATGTCGTTTAGCAATGCACATAATATTTTGTTTTGTTTTTCTATTAGTTATTTTGCATCTATCTAAAAAGAAAAAATCCCTTGTCAGGTATTCTATGTCTAAAGCATTTCAAAGAGAAAAAAAGAACAAAAAAGAGAAAAGCCCCAAAACCTAAATTTAATCTGGTTTATTTTAAAGAATGCTGTCCTACTATATAAGCAAGGTCAAAAACTAATGATCAAAATGTCTCCTTCAAACGTTTTGGTTTAGAGCAGAATTTATGAATTCCCATGGTTGTCTTTCCAATGCTTGATATTAACTCTGACTAACTACAGCTAACGTTGGATGAGTGGTTGATGCCCTCTGAGTAATTTTGGCAGGACTGCCACTCCTTGGGGAATTCACAACTGTTTCACATTTTACCCATTTTTACATAAATGCTCTCACGAAAGTTGGCCAGAGTCCCTAAAGCCTTAGGGACTCTGGGTTACAAAAGCCTCTCCAGACTGATCGACGTCAATGACTTGGTTTCTCATCAGCTTTTGAACGTCTTTAGATTGAGCTCTGAAATGTTGCTTTTTGATATGTTTTAGTCTACTATATGTTGTAAGGACAGGCCGAAGTTTGGCTTGTGAATGTACATAATACTTGATGTGCAAAGCAGTGAACCCCAACAAAAGGAAGGTTAGTTGTGGTTTGATGCCCTCAGGAACTCTTGTTTCACAAAAATGTATCAATAATGATGAGAAAATCCCAATTATCAGGATAAAGAGGCATGTAAGAGTTATGGGACAAAAAAGGTGCGAAACAAATTCTGTGTAATAAGCACCTGGTGCTATTAATCCTGTGAGGCATGACAAAGGAATCTGTAATTAATAAGGTGCAGTTGTGGTTTTTGTGTCCATTGAAGGTAGAATATAATAGCAATGAACTTTATTGTTCTGCACAGGGAACATTAAGGAGATGCTAAAATGATGATGATGGAAAGTACACTTATTGATTCATCCGTCCGTTGTTAATCTTTTTTGATGCGGTATAATAACCAGCTGTAGCTCAAGTTAAGAGAGTTAAGATTTTTGATGATAAAAACCTACTCTGCTGTGACACGCCGCTAGCCGAAAAACTAATTTCTGTTGCATCAAAACAAAAACAGAAACACTTCAGAAAATATAAACCATCCGTTTAATGCTCTCCGACCTGAGGGAGCTGCTGTCATTCTGTTGTGCTGCACATAATTTTTATTTTTTATTTTTCTGGGTTTCAGCGTGCCAGGTGCCTGCCAGGACTGCAGACATGTCATCTCGTCCTCCAGCTCTTAACATACAAGACAAAATGTGCATTTTCAAGTCTAACTTTTCTTTTCAAAAATCAAGCAAATATTAATTATTAATGTTTTTAAGGACATTTTACTGTAACAGCAATCCTGCATTTGTAACCCAGTTCTGACCATTGGCCCAAAAAGTGTTCTTAGTCACAGAATGTCTCATTACTTGCAAAGTAAATAAAGTTTAAAAACAACAGAAGGAAAGATAAAAGCACTGAGTCTAGCGTGAGAGCAGATGACAAACACGCAGTATGAGCCACCGTGATTGATATAGGAATGGGGGAGGGAGCCAGGCCCTGACTTTTATGAACCCGACGAGCCGGTTCTGTTCTTTTCCGTTTTATTCTGCGACCTCAGTCATCTCAGTGTCGGGGCCTCTGCACTCGCCTGCCTGTCAATTAACGTAAACGCCAGCAGGGAGGGAGGGAGATGATCAATATTTCATGAGGATTGCTTCGTCACCCAGACAGACAGACAGACTGCAGCTGGTGACGTCGGAAAAACAAACACCAACAGACTTCAACACAGAACGTGCGTTACCAACAGGATTTCATTTAATCTGTTCCAATGAAAACAAGAAGCTTTGAACGGAGTAGTTGTAACTGGATTAGATGACAGTCGTTACTTATTTCACATGATCTGGGGGATTTACTTTGAAAGCTGCCGACTTAGTTATGAGCCAACTGCTGTTACTGTACAGGACTGAATTTGACTAATTATCATTTAAATTAACATTTACCTTTGGAAGTGACCATTAGAACCATGAGCAGTCTAGTGAGAGTTCAGTACAACACACGGTTTGCTCGTACATCAGGTGTGAATGTGAGGTGAGGACTCGACGTTTCTGAACGGTGCGGACTTTGGTGCGGGTCAGGTAGCGAGAACAGGCCAACGCGGCCTCAGTGCATCACCTGCTGGGAAAACAAAAGATAAAAGTACTTTGGAAAACTGGCATAAACTGGTTTTGTCCTCACATCACTCTAGGAGCACAGGAAGGACATCCGCCTATCTATTTTAGTAATTAGTTTTCCAGTTGGGCTGGGCAGGTCAAGCAGAGTGGAACAAAATGCATCACCTTCAAGCTGGTAAAAAAAAAAAAAAAAAAAAAAAAAAAAACCTGTACAGCTGGTGATCAAATATTTTTTTCCAGAATCAGTATTAATTATTGAATAATTATGTTCAGCCTTAATTGTAAGCGATTCGCTTCATGCAAACCTACAACAAAAACCCTGCATCCTGATGCATCCTTTATGTTTCCTGACGTCCATCCATCTTCATAACAGTTGAAAACTGCAGTAATTTTCTGATAACAATCCTCCACTTATGAAGCCGTCACTCACACCTTCAGGTGCCTGATCCCAATATACTACCTCCTTGAAAATGTAATACTTTTCCTGCATGCACACCAAATTAATTCAAAATTCAATTCCAATGTTAAAACTTTTTAGTATGAGTAACCAGAATCTCACATATTTGCCTCTCTACATTGCAAATTCTCCTATCCACAGCCTTCTTCAAGTGAACCCACAAATGTTCTTTGATTTAGTTCTGGACTATAGCAACTTTATTTTTCAGTTATTATTTTGTTAAATTGGACCTTTTTTTTTTCCCTTCATATTTAGCATCCTAACAGACACCTGGACCTCAGGAAGGGTAGTCACGGTCACAACAACGGCTACTGGGGATCTTAAACAAAACTGATATTATGGGATCAAAACATCAGGTGCACCGATCCCTTAAGAGTTGATTTCGTCTACCGCAGGGGCGTCACACTCCAGTCCTCAAGGGCCAACTGTCCTGCAGATTTTGTATGTGCCACAGGTACAAAACACTGGAATGAAATGGCTTAATTGCCTCCTTCTTGTGTAGATAATTTCTACAGAGGTTTGCTAATGACCTAATTATTCTACTCAGGTGTGGTGGAGCAGAGTTGCATCTAAAAGTTGCAGGGCGGTGGCCATCCAGGACCAGAGTTTGACACCTTGAACAGTCTAGTTCCCTTTGAGTAAACCCAAATCCTGAAGATGCAACCACCATGTTTCTGTGTTAAACATATCTTTCACAATTGAGGCCATAAAAACATCAAGTGTGGTTTCATCAAAGCAAAAAGAAAAACAAAACAAAACAAAAAAAGGACATTGACATGGTTTTGGTAAATTTTAACCAGGCCTGGATGTATTCTTTGACAGAAAAGGCTTTTGTCTCACACCACTTATCACATATAGAAATCCTTGCAGATTTCAATTTATTGATTTATTTTTTGTGAATTTTGAAAAAATATAAATTTTTAGTGAAGTCCCTTTATTTTCTACTGACTGTCTTCATTGTTTCAGTGCTGTACAGTTTGCGGTACCTTCTCATGACATAGCTTAACATTTTCCTGCTCCAACTTTTCTGCAGACTTTAACTAAAGAAAGCAGAGTAAAAACCCTCAGGCTAGATTAATTTTATATACGGTTAAGTAGATTTTCAGCGCTGAAACTGAACAAAAAGCTACAGCAGCTTTTTAAATGCATGTTTTAGATCTTTCACAGATTTGTGTTTCTGTTGAATTGTACAGGATTAAAGGCAAGTATAATCAAAAATCTGAGATTTTAACAATCTGAGATTTTAACGCTTGTGAGCTCCACAGTGTTAGTATTAACACATATATTATTTTTGACTTGTAAAGATTGTCCAAGGTTGATCGAGTCAAGAGAATGGAGACCGACTGCGCTCCACCCGAGACAACATGTAAACTCTGAGTTAAACAGCAACCAGGAGTCAGTACACAAACACACACACACACACACACTACCTAGTACTACCTTGACCTCACATTCCTCGTTCCTGTCAAAGGCAAACAAACCTGTGTTTTCTGGAGTGGTACCAGATTAGATTGTTTGATCAATCTCCGTTTCTTTGTATGAATGCCTTTGCCAGTGTGAGAATGATTGGAACGCATTCTGGGAACATTCCGCTGACAATTTGTCACTGGAACATTTAATGTTCCTAGAAGGAAGGAAGAAAATAGAAGAGTTGACAGGCTGCAGCATTGTGCAAATGTGTGTGAACTCTCAAATGTGTTCCCAGAGGTGGGTGCTATTGGATACGTGTGCAGACAAGTTATCAATCATTCTTTACAAGGATTCGAGATGGGTAACAATATTCCAACATTTTCTCACGCGGTGCAGCATTTGTACAGCATTCGATCATTCTTTCTGTCGGATGGTTATTTCGTTGTTTCTCTGCAGTTGCTACAGTCGTACTTATCCATCTAAAAGTAAAGGCTCACTTTAAACAATTGACTTGACCTTAGCTCACTCAACAAGGGTGAGTCTCTCTACTCTCCTATGAGTGGAGAGACTCAAGCTCCACTTGAAGCTTTAGACATACACGATTTATACTTTTTATTTTAAATAAAGTTGTCTAGCGAAGTCTTCTGCATTCTGTTTGATGTGATTGGCTGCTGTCACAATTTTTATTTCAACTTCTGGGATTAATGAAGTACACCAATACACAGTACCGTAAAGGTATTATGTGACTTTTTTTTCTCCTAAAACCAAGTTGAGTTTTTAGAATACTCCAGTAAACTTCTAATACATTAATAATTATGATAAAGAGAGAGAAAGGTATTTAGGGTGATTGAGCAGCTTTAGTAACTGAATGGGTGATGCTAATTAGAGCAACAGAAGGGCAGCACATCTGGCCAGAAATGCTGAGTGTATGAGAAAGAGGCACCGCACATGGCAGGATATCCAAACCTTATCGTTATCCCAACCAACAGATGAATAGAGGGAAACAGATGTAGACTTTCCCCCCATCCTGTCCGCCACTTCCTACTACAATACACCTACAGCGTGTGTGTGCATATGCTGAAAGATAGCCGTTCTCTTTTTGCTTTCACTATCACAGCCGAAAATGGTGCTTTGGCCATCCATAAAACATGAACCAAAATGTCTTTCCCCTTCATAGAGTTCATCTGCTTCTGTTCGGGATGAAAGAACGCGACTGTAGATTCGCTCAACAACAAGGCAGATGATGGGAACGGGTGGAAATCATTAACCTGCAGTTTCTGTCCGACTGTTGATTTCAAACTTTCACTGAATTTCTTTTTCATGTCTGTTGCGGTTCAACAAAACTGCATGTCTAGTTTAAACAAGACATACATGAGCTTTTGTAATATCTACATTCTGTAACGTTTAGCAATTAGCAAGCAGCTCAGGGGCATTTCAGTGAGTCAAATACAAAAATTTAACTCTTACTGAACTATTGTAGTTGTCCATGGGACATTTAAAAGGTGTCAACCTGACCATCCCATTCAGCTGATGAAGTTTTTTTTTTTTTGCTACTGAAGTTTTCTTAATGTGTGTCTTTTATTTGCATCTGAAAATTGTAGTTTCCTGGGTCACCCTTTGGGTTTAAGATTTATTTTCTTTTAATAAACTGATTAATCACAGTCCAAATGTAAAAACTAAAATAAGTATTTCCTGTCGAAAGGTTTTGCTCCCATTTCTGAAAACATTTTCTGAATTATTGAAACCACAAGCAAAACAAATCCAACAGCTTTTCCTCCCCTGTGGACGCAGTAATAACACGTTACCAGCCCTAAATCCTTCATCTCTCTGCTCATCCCAAACAGCAATTTTCAGGCCGCTCTTCATGTGAAACTTCACAGAGGCCTGCCATTTTGCCCTACAACAAAGCTCCCTGCAAAACAATGTAAAACGGTAAGAATGCAGCCATGGTAATTATGTTTTGTTTTTAAAATAAGCGAGTGTGCTGGATGTGTTTGTTTTGATTTTGGCATTTTAGAGGACTACCGGAAAACGTGAGCAAAGCCGAGCATTAATGTTCGCCTGAAGTCTTAACTGCTTTGCTGTGTGCAAAAGTTGACATTAAAAATAGATTCTCTTTCCCGGAAATTCAGGTACAAAATCCCCACTCGTGAATTTGCATGTCTGAGTAGAAGTTTAATGTTTCTCCCAGACTGAACACTGATTACACAACGGCATACTGAAACTTTGCAGCCAAGGTGAGTGCAGGTATGCAGCCTCCGCATCGTCGCCCCCCGCCTTTGATCCCAAACTACAGGGTCAAGCCATTACCAGGTCAGAGAACATTCCACAACTTTTAATAGGTCACTGCCGAGATGTTTTACATTGCAAACGCCAGAATAGTATAACTATTTTGGAGAAAAAAAAAACAAAAAAAAAAAAAAAAGCAACATTATTATTATTATATTGACATTTTCTCAGATAACCAAATCCTTTGACAGTACACAAAGGAATAAAACACAAACAGTGAGGACAGATTTTTTTTTTTTCCCCCCCCAAACAAAAGTCAACACTAATATATCTAGAAAGTATTTGCAGCGGTTCAGTTTTTCCACTTTTTGTTGCATCACATTCTTTTTTCGTTCCTCAAAATTCTACACACAAATACCACATTGTGACACTGAATAAAAAAAGTTGTGGAGTGCTTTTGCAAATTTATCAGAAACAGAAAACCAAGAAATCATAGAAATCATATTTACATAAGTATTCACAAGCTTTTGCAATCAAGTTAAAAATAGAGGCATTCCTAAAAGTTAAATGAAGCCCACCTGTGGTAAATTCTGTTGACTGGACTTGATTTGATTTGAAAAGGCACAGATCTGTCCTGATAAAGTCTCTATTATTCTTGTGTAGGTTAAAACTTCAAACCTTGGATTTCAACTCAACTAGAGAATGATTCCTTGCTTCACTATCTTGTTACTTTTGAGCTTTGCTTGCGACAAGAGTCTGTCAGACGTACAAGACGCTCCAAGACAAGAAAAGCATTTGAAGACATCATAGCTCCCAGATACAATTTTACCAGCATTTTAAAATTAAAACGTGCGTGACAGACTGTGACATCTGTCAACATACCGTAGCAGCGGAGGATTAAATTTCATTTCCATCGTGAGTGAAGATAATTGCACTGTACGAAAAAGCAGCACCATCACACACTTACTTAAGACCAACCTACGGAAAAAAAAAAGGACCAATCAAACAATTAAAAATATGCATTTTTATTAAACCTTTTTGAGGCAATTAAAAAGAAAGTGTGTGAAGTATTGGAAAAGACAAACATGAAACAATAAATTGTTATGAAAGCGACAAATTCCTGGAGAAGACAGTTTTAAACAACCAGCAGATTTGCAGCTCAACAGTTTGATAAATCCTGGTTGGTACTTTCATGTTCTGCTGTTCTTAGCTTTTAAATCAGCTTTGATTCTCTGGCATTCGTGAAGGGCAAACCGGTCTGATGTCTGGATGATAATTCTCTGGAAAAAGAATCAGAACAGAGAATCAGTTTAGCATATTTCCCACACGGTGATTGGTACGTTAAAGAAACTTTGAGAAATGTCGTGCAAAAATTGTATTTACAACATCGGGGCCCACTGCTACCTTCTCTGGACCAATGGTGAGAGATAATTACTTTTGGAAATGAAACTCTTGACGCTCAACACTTTTAGTCTGACATGGAGCTAAGTTGCTTTCTAAGGAAAACTATGTTTCTTTATGGATTCCTGATTCCAGTTGGGACAGAATTATTACAGTAAACCATCACGGGAAAAATACTTACCGAAGCACTATGTTAATGAAAACTGCACCAAGACCCATAATCTCACTCAGCCTTTGGCAATTTGCTCATCACTCAAACCACTCAAGTCCAAACAAACCACAAAGATTAATGTTTACCCCACAGCAGACATATTCCAGATCTGAATATCATTAAAACGTTATTTCAGTAGATCAGTAATTTTTTAAAATTATATACTTGTATGCAACATTCAGCACACAGAGTAATATATTTTACTTCTTCAATTTGATAATTATTTCTTATTGCAAATGTAATTACCATTTTACATTTTCTACCATCTATCGCCATCTTGAATTTTTGAGTTCTCCTTTTAGGTGCCAGTGTAACATCTTCCACACATAGTATGACAACTTTGAGCTTCCTGTACAGAAAACTAATATATATAAATATTTTTTTTATGTACACCTTGATGTTCGATTTTACTTAAAATCAGAAGCAGTGGAATGGGGCCCTCACGCTATGGGCTGAGAAATGCTCAGATTAAACCATCAGTGTGTTTTGAGAATGAAGTTGTGGTGAAAGCATTTACTGTTTAAATGCGGGAAATGTTTTTCAGTCTGCATCTTTGAGCCAGTTCTTTCAGGCTTATTTGTTACAGAGCATAAAGAGTAATTAGTATGAGCAGGTTAGCCATGGTGGCTTTAGTCTACATGTGGTAACAGGCAGAACAAATCTGACACAAAACAGCCATTTAGTATGACCAGCAGTGTGGTTTTAACTAAAGACGGACTCTATAGATTCATTCAGCGTCACAGCAAAGGGGTCCCCGACACTGGCGCCGCATTATAACTCATATAAGCAAGTCTTTGCAGACTTATATGCCCCATTCTAAGCACCAATGAACTGGGCCTATTCATTTTACCTGACATGAGTACAAAATGAAAGAAAGAAAAGAGAGTACTGTCAGTGCATACAAATACAACAGCAGCATAGAACATGGCAGTCTCAAAGCTCCAAGCTTTTCAAGACTCAAAGTTGTGTGACTACATTTGTCCTCACAGTCGTATTTGATCAATAAAAACATTATCGAAAAGTGGACCTCTTGAGTCTGTTGAGATGTTTGTGACCGCTCCAAGTGACCAACTTCAGTCATCCGTTTTAGATGACATCCTCTGCACTCAAGTTAAAACAGTAGGAGTAAATGGACTGAGTTTGTTTAGTCCTTGTCTTTGGACATTACTGACCAATGAAAGCACTCCTCACACTGAGGAACAGTCACGCCACGTACATGTTTAAGAGACAATACAAAAATTTCAGGAAAACACAAATGTTTGACAAAAAGAAGCAGGATTCCTCAAAATGTAAAGCTTTAATTAATATTTCCTGGAACAGCCGGTCCCAAATTTTGAAAATTAATAAAACATTTTGATTTCAAAGTTGATAGAAATCTTTTATCACATCGCACCAACAGCTACACTCATTTAAAACACCCTTACGTTCTCCCTTTTCCTCTATTCTGACGCTCATTTTGAATTTCCACAAATCCTTCAGACCCCTTCTAGAAGCTGAAAACGCATGATTAATTGAGCTAACAAGCAACTGAATAGGTGTAACTAATAAAGTAGCCTACGAGTTCTAAACGCAAATCTGCATCACTAGATTAACGTTATGAATTATAGAGCGAGTTGACAATACCTCCAGTTCAGTACAGAGCATTCGTAAACATCATTGGCCTGTGCCGACACCAGCTACCCGTTTTAGCTGCATTTGATATATTAACTGTGCCTACTGAACAGTGTTATCTAACATAAACGGTAATTTATTTTAAAATATAAAATGACAAAACTATTTTACTGCCAAACAAGTTCCACCAAACAGACCAGACTGTATAGGTCTGAAGACAACAAGCTAAGGTTGGGGCGAAGCTCAAACAAACGTGGTGGGAGGAAGGAAAAGCGAGACAAAGAACACCGCCCACCTCCAACGATGGTTTGACTTAAAAATACCGTTTGGTGATAAAACCAGCCAATAACTTACTGTTGTGTCTTTTGATGTCTGGTCAGTGCTTCCTTTCTTTGAATGGCTGATTATTTTTTACCAACAAATGTCTTTTTGACAACTTGGTGACAGGCTCTATCTTTCTAAAACAGAGACAATAGACTTAGTCATACATCACCAACCTTTACAGCACCATCTCTCCCCTCCATCCTGTCCTCAGCAGGTGTTCGCAGAACAGTATCAGATACAATCTAACATATGGGTACAGGAAGTAGTGGGAAGTTACTAAAGAACTCTAGCATGACTGCTTATTTAAAACACGAGGAGCATAAGATCAGGGTGAGCATTCAGGGCTTCTCAAACACAATGTTTTCCTTTCTCGCCGTTCAGAGGATGTGAAACTAGGACCAACAGGATGCAAGAAACCGCTTTCAGTCCATGAACATGAAGTACGGTCTGCAAATGCAAATTTCTGCTGGAAGGTCACAAACATCCCAGGAGTTTCAGACTTGTTCAAGTTTTCAACATTCAATAAACTCCAACTTGAGAAAATTAATTTATATTTTACGATGGTTATTTTGTACACAATGCATTTGTTATTTGTCATATACAAGAGACAACCTTTCTTTTAAGATTATTGGGTTTTGTGATTTCAAATGAAAGTTGATCTTTGTTTCCATGTACTGTGAAATGTAATTTCTATTTCATCCATAAAAATAATAAAAAAAGACAAAACACTTTTGCAACAATATATTTTTTTTACCTGAAGACAGAAAATGGTCAAACATTCATGAATGATTTCATATTTTAGTAAATTGAATTGATGTACATTTATAAGCATCAAATGTAGTAAAACAAAATCTAAAAGATAACAGATTAATAAAATTGTTTCTAAAAAAAAATACATTCTAGAGAAAAGACTAAATAAACCTAAATTATAATTTGCTGTTTAAGTTAAATTACATTTAAAACTGAGCCAGGTCTCAGCAAGTCACACATCCATGCAGGTGTAGAAAACGGCTTAAAAAGGGTCAAAAGTGTTGAGGGAAGAAAAAAAAAGATGACAAGAAATACGACCATGTAAAAAATAAATACCTCTACACTCCCTGGTCACCAGAGGACTTACAGTGTCTATTGTCCTTTTTTCGCCAGGCTCCATTTCCTTTTATATTTCTAACCTCCAAGGTGTTAGCATTACAGTCATTAACTGTGACCTTTTCCATTCACTGCACAGAGTTTCATTCAAACAAAACCTTTTCAGGATGATTGAGGATGGGCAATGTCTTATGACACGTTTCTAGGCAACGTCTCACAAGCAATGCTTTTTCTATTTTTCAATAAGAAATGACACATAGCTTGTCACCTTGGGAGAAAAAAAGGTAACTGTTGCTCAAAGTAATTTATGGCCAACAAATCCAATCTACCTTCTGTGTACAGCTAGCATGAGGGGGACCCTTTTCTATTTAGCTTCCACAAGACATATTGGCCGTGCTTCATTCAGGGATTTATTACTATTCACCAATTTACTGCAATATTTTATGCTAGCTTTAATAGGCCTTTTTCATAACCGGAAGTAACGTCTCCTGATGTGGGGCACTTCCTGTTTTTGCAAATCTATTAAAGAAAAAGAGGAAAATAAGGAAAAATGTCTCCTTTTTTCAAAATCTTTGCTTAATTTGCCATCCTTTTCATTTGCTGATGCGAAGGAAGTCGCTGTCGTGAATTCGCAAACCAATAAACTTGAAAAAGGACATAAATTCTTGGATTTGAAGGTCTTTTCTTACCTTGAAGAAAAGACGTAGCTTAGCCTGTCAACCGCTAGGTACAAGATGAGTAAATACAACCATCATAATTAAAGTAGTCTAATTTAGTATGTTAAGTTATTTGGAATATTTGAGGGAGACATGGCATAAACTTTTAAGTTATATTAGCATCGTCGTATGTGATTACCATTGCAATTTGTGAAAGAAAACATGCTAGTTATGAGATGCTAGATGATGCTCGATACTTGATGCAAAAGCAACAAAAGTTCAACACATTAGTATTAAGAAAAACAGCTGTGTGCGAATGGATGCCCAAGTGTGGAAATTATATCAGATTTAAGCTTTTTAATATTCTGAATAACATTTAATTTGAGCAAAACCTTTTTGCCAAACAGAATCTTAAGGAAATTTAGTAAAACAAGTTTTGTATTTCTTCTTCACGTAGCTAGCTCTGTTGGTTCTGCCAGGCTCTGACTGTTTGTGAGCCTGAAATGCTGGAGGCAGAGTCTTTGATCAAACAAACGCCGAGGTGTGGGATATCAATGGGACTCTTTCTTTCTCCCCCTTTTCACTCGAGTGTGACCCGCAGAGTCTTGGCATTCACATTGTTAAAAGTTAGTACTGCTGAAGCCAGCTGAAATGCACACCAAACAACAGCCGGGAATTGCTGGGAATCAGGAATGATGTCATAAATAAAAGACTAGAATGGTGCAGGGTTTCAAGGGAATAGCAATCTGCAGACAGTGCGCAGGGTGCCGGGGCATTTGGCTAAAAGGTTAAATCAGCAAAAAGTGGATCCATTATGACATCATAACAATATTAGCAATTAAAGTGATCATATTTCAAACCAGCTTAGTGTGCCATCATGGAGTTTAATTGTGTTTGTCGAAAGACCGACCAGAAAACTAAGATTGATACCTCAAGCTTTTAGATGGAAGAAAGGGAGAGTGATGTCCCTTCCATTAAATCTGCCCTTGAAGAGAAAAACGGGGCAATAATTTTGAGCACATTTAAAAAAGAAAAAGCAGAACTGATGATCTACGACACCACTTTATACTGCACTTCAAACTAGAATACTCTGTCATGTGGATGGATTTTTTTCTCAAGACTACAGTGGCGAAAGCAACAAATAGCTTTTTAAGGGAGGCACTCATGTTTATTAAACATACATGCTGACCGGCGACAGAAATTTGACCATTTTTAATTTCTTGTGGAAAATCCCTGGACAGGCATTCTAATAGAAACCCCCCACTGACAGCAAATACCAAACTCGTCAGCTGTGACTCTGAATCTGTAAACTTAACTAAAACATTGTGCGATTCATTCTGACTCTACCTTCAATAACAGGACACAGTGATTAAAGCGACACTTGACTGGCTTGGATTTGTGCGGATGGGTCCCTTTTGTGTGTCTTTGCACCAAACACTTCCACTGTTTTCACTGCCGCTCTGCTTCTTTGCATAGAATTTGTTCTGTCTGTGTTTGATCACTCATCCACCCTGTAACCTCTCAACACTGTTACATAACACCACAACACACAAACAAGGACATGAATGGGCTGGATATACGTTTCTCAAGAACAACATAGTTAGCAATAGAAAGAAATAGTGGGGTTCTTTTTAAGCTGTTCTCCACTGCTAGAAGGATAAACAACACAAAAGCAAATTACTAAGTGTGCCATAAAACATGTGAACACAACCAGATTCCCCAGGTGGGAGGAGAAGAGAGTACGACAGTGGCTCCCACACTGCTCAGCATACGACCCACAACACTGAAGGATCAGATGACAAGCCTCAGCCGACAAACGCACGACGAGCTCGATGCTCTTTTTTTTTTTTTTTTTCCAGCTAGTCCCCTTCTGGCAGAGAGCAGAGTCACGTGCGCGCTGCCGCTATTTTGTGGGGAACATTCTGCCTAATTAGGTTAAGCTTCTGCATTTTAATTGCTGTCCTCATAAACAGCGGTTATGACTTTAAACCCCCTCGCTGGATACAGATTTAGTTGCAGCTTTTCAACCCTGTATTTAACCTTTGTTGGAATTAATAAAACACCAGCATCTCTTAGTTAAATAATTACTACATCCTAAATAATGATTTGTATTGTGTTTGTAAAATGAAAGAATAAAAAAAAAGAAATCCAACATGTTTTGGAATGTCATCCGAGGTGTACCTTCATTTTAATTTATATACACACACACACAGCTTCCATTAAAAAAAAATGCAAAAAAACCCAGTGCATTTAAAAATTCATTCTGAAACTACAACATAGAAAACATAAACATTATGTATTCAACATAAAACTAACCTGATGCAACGTGAATATGTGTTTAAACATGGAACAGCCTGTTCAAATATGACTGCCAAATAACTGGTTGAGCAAGTCACCAGGCACGTTTGTCAGTTTCGTTAATTTATGAGTTGCTTACGTTGAAAAACATGCCATCCCGCTTGCTGTTCTACTAAATACTTTCCTGAAAGAGGACAGACGGATGAGCATTTAACGTTGTCAAAACTGACAGCGAAACACGAACAATAAAACTAGTGATCGGTTGTGCAGGTTTAGGCACTCATCCCAATCCGTTTCCACTGTATCCAACAGAATACAGACTATTTGGGTAGAAAAGTATGCCAGAAAACGGTGATGTGAGAGGCAGTATTATAGCTGAACCTTCAGGGAAGACCTCTGTGGAAAAGAACCAAGAACAAGGGATGGGTGGAAATTTCTCAGCTTTACTTTTCAGAAAACTCAGAAGAAACTATAAATTATGTTTAACTTTAAAAGTTTTTACAGCTCCCAGCTTGTCTACAGAGAGAAAGGATTTCAATTCTACTGCTAATGTAGCGCTTTAGGAGCTTTAAGAGTTGGTTGAAATTATTTACTGCTGTTATGTTCTAAAGCGCAAATGAAACCAAAAGACATCCATAAAGGAACATAAATTATTTAGAGATTTTAAACAAATTGCTGCTGTGTTTGTATGTTCTGCTGGGACACATCTTTTAGGCTTAATTTCATGAACGTCTGTTATAACGGATCTTTGCTGCATGTTTCTCAGCTTGGTATTGTTGTGGACGGTCAGTCAAAATAATGTTTATTAATTGAAATTGTGGCACCACAATGCATTTGAAGCAACAAGCAGATTTTAAATTATTACTCCAAGTGCATCGACTTCCTGGAAAATTCTTGAACAGGACAAAATGTTCAGAAGGTGTGTAGCTCACCAAGCAGGAAATTACAAGTTTATTTTTGTGCTGCGGCATTCCCGCCCTGCTTAGATGCATGAGTGGAAAACTCAACAGGAGGCGTTTCACTTTCCTGAATTTGTGAGTCCGTCAGTCACACAAATTCATTTCATATTTGAAAACTAGAAACGCAACAATTTGCTTCCAGCACATATCATAAGAAAACCGTGGCTACTAACAGATTTATTGCATTTGCACCATTTATTTATGGCCTTATTCAGTAAATACAATTTTTTTGACGTGCTTTCTGAAAAAAAAAAAAAAAAAAAAGTCAATTAAAATGACACCTTTTCTAGACAAAACAAAATAAGATTTGACTATAGTAATGCAAATTCAGAACTAATCTTATTTTTAAATAGCTTTCATTATATAAACAAAACCCTTCAAGTTGCACCCTTACCTTTTTGTTGTTCTCAATTGATGACTTAATCTAGAGATGATTGATCTGATCGATTGACCAACGATTAATTGATTAGTGGCCATTTTCCTAAAAATTTGAGTTTTCTCTTGTATCAAGAGGGTCGTCCTCTAAGATGGTCGGCTTTTTCTGTTATAATACGCTAAATAAAAAAAACAAAAAAACGATCACATCGATATATTTTGACGGGTTTTTTGCGTCAGCTGACTGAATGTATAAAAACTTGTTTTGCCCACACATTATTCAGACATATTTATGAAATACAACAAAAGAGGAACCCCCTTAGGTTGTTAAATAAAAAAGGGTAAAAATAACAAAATATGTGATACACATAACACTTAACCTAGTTTACAACAAATAATTTATAGTGGTGACAGCCCTCTAATTGCCTCCCCTGAAGTCTAACAGTTTTAAAGGAAGTTGAGAGGAGGAAAACTGATTTTTGATGTGGGGGATTACAGTCTGAAAAACAAGCCCACTTCCTATAACCAAAGCCTTAAACAGGACTGACTGAATATTACGAGCTGCTCATTTGATTGTGTGAAACCTGATAAACTCTGATGTGGCTGCCTCTGCTTACCATACAGACTTTAACTCTGACCACAGCTTTCTATTACATCCGTCATCTCTCAATAAAATAAAATAAAAAGCTTAACTCTGCAAGTTTGAGCTCTTTAATGACCATTTGGGGTTGGTTTGGAAAATCATGACTATTAGAATTAAGCTAAGCAGTGCTGGCATTTTTAACATGTCCTAAAATGTTGCTGTTTTGATACACATATCTTTCTAAAGAAATTGTCGATGAGGGTAAAAGCGAGTTTCCACACTCATTCTTATAGAGGTCAGGCTACAGTCTGTGGTGTATGGTTTCATATAAACCTTTGTTAAAGTCAAGTCAGCATGTTGTAGTATACTGTGCATTCACTAAATTTCTTCACTGGATAAATAACTTACTCCGCAAAGGAGTAAGAGTTGGCTGCAGGGTCATGTCCAGCAGAGAGAAACTTTTTCTTAGAGTTCTTGATGTTCATTGTATAGAATAGAAGAAAACACTGAGCTAAGTTTAGGATTAAGGAGATTTATTTTGTTTGTTGTTGGGAATCTACAACACAAGTGGCTGCAACTTTTCTTCAAACTCTTTGGATTATTTTTATGCTTGAAGTAAAACTGAAAGAATTGAAAAATCCTGTAGCAGAAAGACATCATGCCTCCTTTGTTTTCCATGAGTGTAGAACAGCTTTCGATATTTAAAGCTACTTGGAAAGCAAAAGTAACTTGTTAATCTTACCTGATGAGAGCTGCGTTGAATGTTTCATGGGGTTCTCCACTTTGAGAAGCACTGGTGGGTTGAGGACTCGTGGGAGTGGTGGAGGAGAGAATCGCACTGGAGTTAGGATTCTGGTCCACTGAGCTCCTCTCATTTCGAGGAAGACGATGAGATTTCGCTCTGGCATGATTACGGATGCGGTTGCTACGACGATGAGCCGCTTTGCCAACAGACCCTGCACCAGATCTCTCAAAGGTTTGCTGATATCTTTAAACAGAAGAACAAAGAGTAGGTTTACATGAGCTCCCAAATGTTTGTTCACCAACTGAAATTTAGATTAATACATACGATAATTATTTTTGCTTTAAAAATCCCCATGAAAAAAAAAAGAAAAAAGAAAAGGTTCCTCTAAGAATGACAAATTTCAAGCTCACTGCAAGACACCAGGGAGGAAAACTGGATGGCATATTCTTCAACTCCATGATGACAAAAACATGTGAAATTGTCAGACTTTCCTTTGTGTCACTGAAAAGTTACAGTCAAAGCATCAGAAAGCCCCACAAGTCACATAAATTATTGGAATGCAGCACATGAATGCATAGATCCTGAAATTCAAGGATTTTTGGCTTTAAAAACGTTTGGAAAAAACTATTGTCTTAATCTTTTGGGTGTTACGTTGAGGTAAAATGTCCCAATATTGTTGGGCTTTTTTCTTTTAATTATTGTGAGACTGTATGAGCTGCTGTCAGTTAACTGTTAAAACAACCCGTTTGTGGTTTGCTTGCATTAAATGTAATCGTTCTGTAGATTACTTTTACTTTCTAAATAATTTCTCAACTTGAGACGAGTTATTTTTATGTACTGGAAAGAACTATCAGTCAAGTTAAAATATTACACCACCTCACACAAAGAAAGCTATGGCAAAATGGTGGTGGACAAATTCATTAAATGCCGTTTTACTACAATTATAAGTACGCAGTCAAACATCTGTCATGTTTTCTGAACCCTCATATGTTTTTTTTTAAGTTCCTGGCACACTTTTTAACATTGAAGCAAGCTGACGATTGTCCTGTTGCCTCCTCTTGTCTACAGCTAATTTGCCACACAATAACAATAATCCCTTTTGTGACCCCCGATGACCCACCGCATGCTTCAAATAACCTGATCCACTCGACACAAAGAGCAAAGCTGCGAGGAATTACAAGCATTCTTGAAACATGGGTGCAAATATTCACACAGGGGAGGATGCACAGATAAATACAAACACACAAACCACTCAAAAGGTACCGAATGTTTCTGCTGTCTGCCGTGTGCTGACAGGACAAAAGGAGCAGCATTACAATGAGAAGATTAGAGGACTATTGAGAAATTCTGAATGTGGCTGGAAACTGACCCGCTTTATCAACAAGAAACAAAAACAGGAAGACTTTGTGGAATAGCAGAAATTTTTAACATTACTGAAACAGCTTCCATGGCTCCAGGAAGATCATATAAATGAGCCCTTCAATAAGCGTGCATCTTCACACGTAGCAAGCCTGATTTGCAAGCAAACAGCTGCAAAGTGTGCATTGTGTGGGAATCAGAGAAACATTAAATGAAAATAAATTAACAGGAAAACAAATCATGAAGGATTTGCATGTTTTTATGAGCAAATGTGCGTCTGTGCTGCCATTTTCCAGATAATTGGACAAAATATTAGAAAACAATACAAAAATGTTTACTGAATAATTCAAAGTTAATGTATAGAACTTGGTTTATATAGGCCTTTGTTCCGATGTTCTGATCAGCGGCCAGCTGACCAACAAAACCTGGAAAAGATGAACTCTTAACTCAGATTTAATCTGAGGCTACATCACAGAGAAAAGGGAATTTACAGCCCTTATAGCTGAAGGGGAAAAAAGCATATATTGTGGGAATCAAGATTGAGCTACTTTAGTGAGAAATAAAAAATGTTGACGATGAAAAGTGAGACAGTCATATAAATTACAGCTGGGGCAATAAAAAGGATCATAAAATGCTGAGAAAACGATTTATGGCATCATAAACATTAAATGAGCATGAGTTTCAGAAAGCTTTACTATATGTTTCATGTGCTTGATGATTCTTGTCTAGTCCATATTTTTTTCATATGAAACATCCACATATGACGTAAACAGCAGCTGAAATATGCTGGTACTTAGGAGTACTGCTAAACCCAAAGTCAAATAAGAATAATGCTTTCATAAGTGTATTGAAAATAAGTAGCAGCAAGTTTGTTGTTTCATGCTTGAAAAAATTAAATGTTCTAACCTTTCACTTTTCCCACAGCCAGCAGGTTTTTTCCCAGTAACAGGGGCTACAGCCACCTCTCCACCGCCCCCTTGTCCTTCAGGCTGGTGGATGCTACTTTTCTGCTTGCTCTGCTTTTTCAATCTCACCTAAGAAAAAAGACAAAAAAACTGAAATAAATCCCATATTGTTAAAGACAAAAATATTGGGATGCTCAATATTCATTAATTCTGGCAAAATGAAATGTATCAATTTCCTCCTTGTTGTGTTTATTAACAGTCTCTTTGACTGGTTTGTGTAACTCTAAATACTGACAGAAGCACAGATCCATTAGAAAGAGTTGTATTTGAAAAGCGTACTAAAACCGTATAAATGTCATTGATTATTTTGTCATATTTTAACAACTTATGTAGTTCCACTACATAAGTTATGTAGTGACAAATTAATCTCTTGTTCTTGACTTTTGTTTTTCCAATTCCAGACCATGTAAATTAAATCTAAATCCCCCAATAAAGGAAGAAATCTATGATCAACATCTAGACCACCATGCGACTCCAAAGGGCAATCACAGCCACAGTTTACAAGTTCGTAACAAAATAATTATATAAAGCCTTGGTTTCATACACTCATAATCCTTTGAGTAGCAAGCTGAAGTATGAAAGTGCATTTTCTGGGGGCTGAACTTGGAAAGACCTTGCAAAGCAACCAATTTATGTGGTAATTGGTGGCATCTCATAATGTTGCTGCACATGCAGCATCTTGTCTGAATGGCTGAGGAAAAACGGTGTTATTACTCTGATGCCATTAAACTGCACTGAATTCAGCAATAGCTTTTGAAGAAAATCATTTTAAACCCATAGCAACTAGCTTTAGCAAATCACAATCATTGTATAACTACACAATTTTAAATTACGTGTTTTTCAGGAGCAAGTATTCTCCAACACTTGCAGTTTTATAATCATAAGCCCTTTGTTGTCAAATATTAGGAAAGATCAGCTCAATAATAGGATAAGCCATGTTGTGTCAAAATGTTTTAAGTCACATGCTAACTTTGTGCGATTTTCTCACTCAAGCCTGTTTTGGCTTAAGCTCAAGGCATTAGACCCTAAAGTGAGCAGAGTTTAAAAAAATAATAATAATTTGACTGATTCTTTGAGGTTTGTTGGAGGCATTTAAACTCCTCTGAGGATCAGAATCGATTCAAGAGCTAAAACTAATCTTTACTGATAAAGAAAGAGATTTTAATAATAAAGTCTCGGAAAGCCAGAGGAGAAGGAAACATCCTTCCTGGGAAATTAGGCTAAAAGCCACACCCTATAAAGCAGATGTTGAAGAACAACATTGTTAACCTACACACTTGCAGACCACTTTATTAGGTACAACTGTTCAACAGCTTACCACAAACAGCAGATTGTGGCAGCAAGCAACGCACTTAGGCATCAAGACTGTGCTGAAGTTCAAACAGAACTCCAGCGTGAGGAAGAAAGGAGATTTAAAGTCAGTATAAACTTCACATGGTTATTGACGCCAGACGAGATGGTCTGGGTGTTTCAGAAGCCGCTGGTTTACTGGCACTTTCACACAACACCATCTCTTAGGCTTACAAAAAGAAAAAGGAACATAGATAAGGCAGACTGGTTTGAGATGATAGAAAGGTAACAGTAAATAATACAACCAGTTGTTGTAACCAATCTCACAACACGTGAAACCTTAAAGCAGATTGCCAGAGCTGCTGAGGAGCATAATGGGTACCAGCTCCTTTCAGCCAGGAATGAGAAACTGAAGCTACAAATCACACAAAATCACTTGGAAAAAAAATTGTCTGGCCTTATGAGCCTCGGTTTTTAATGGAAATATTCAAAATATTGAATAGAAAAGGAAAAGCAGCAATCCATCCAGCCTCATTTCAACTGCTCAAGCAAGTGGCCGTGGTCTAACGGTGAGGATTTTGACGACACGCTTTGATTTGAGAAATATTTCAGATTCCTTTTTTTAAGGAGCTAAGGCAGTTCTAAACACAGTTGCATCGGCTTTGTTAAATAAGCTATTGATTAATTGAAACTAAAAAAGAAGCCAAGAAAGTTCAGCAAACTGGTTTGGCACAAACATTAGTAATGGTGTTTCTTGGAGTGTCCAACACCTCCGATATTCCTATGAATACACTACGGTTTATTAATGCAAGGAAAACAATACCAAAAAGTAATATCCAGCTGAAAGGTTTTGTGCTTTAATTGTTACATGTTCGTGGTGATTGTGATGACAAATGAGGCAAACAGCCTGCTTCTTGTTTTTATGCAGAGTTAAGCAAATCGGCTGCTCGCTGCACCGTTGTACTGACCAAGCAGATAAAAACTAAACAATGAGATGCATGGATAACATTTTCACCTGAGCTAGTGTAAATGAAGCCGAGGCTCGTCTCCGGAACACGCGGCCAGGACTCCGGCGTCTCGGCACAGCCAGTGTTTGTGAACACTTCTCCTCAACTCCCTCCCGACCCAAAGGGCTGAGAAGGTACCGGTGCGCCATGCGCAGCACACGGGTCAGCAAACTCACACCCCCTGGAACTGTGTCTGCATGTGGAAACACCGTAGATTGTTATTCATTTAGGTTCTCTACCATTGAAAAGCTTTTGAGTTGCAGGGATCCAAACTGTAGGAAATCTAACTGAGGAATAATATTTGTCTCATTTCCCAAGCAATTATTGTTGAGCACCAATTAGCTACAGTGAACCGACAGCAACAGTCCAATGCAGTTATTTCCACAAGACGACTCATCATTCCACTACAGGATAACCCCCACTGACACCGCTCGGTGAGCGTACAGTACACGTACTTTGGTGTGTGAATGTGTCCTTGTTGTACACAAATGAATGTTATCAGTTCCTCTCCATATTTACACAGGGGGGAAGAATCTGTCTGCTTAGGCAAGCTGTGAACACAAAGACTCACTTGTCCCGTCCCTTATGCACACAGTCACAGTCATGGTCTCTACAGCATATATCTCCTGTTTATGTTGAGGGATATTTATGCCACCACTTTCAGAAAGGAAGCTAAGATCTGGTGCTTCCCCCATTTCAACTGATAACAGCAAACTGATACCGAGATTGGATTGTGATTTTTTGGTTTTCTTTAACACTGTGCTTCAAAACGGACCCAATTTTGGGTCCTGCAATCACTTCTGCTAACAAGATCAATCTAAGCACATGCTATACAATAACCAATATAGGCATATTGCACATCGAGCAACAGCTCATCTAAATGATAACATTTTCTACCTCAACACCCAGCTCAAACACTAAGCATTTAAAAACAAAAACAAAAAAAAGAAAAACATAATTTGGCGCCAATTTGTACAACACGGTCCTGCCCACACAAACTACCAATCAGATTAAAACCCAGACTCTGTCTTGAGATTGCACACTACTGCACTGCAATCCCTGCCATATTCAAGCTCAAGAGGGTATAATAGTAGGTTTATGTTTGTATTGGATATAGACTTTAAAGAAAGCATGAAATAAAGCCAAACTGTTTTTAACCATAAATTCAAAACATGTGCTTTATATTAGTCATTTTGTATCAAATAAAAAAAAAAAATGAAAGCCAGAGTCCTAAGCTTTCATCAAAAAACATCAGTGATCATTCAGATGTGGCTACAGACTGAAAATGTTGAGTTTTCGGTTCTGATATTTACACTGACACTTGCTACCACTGATGCCTTATAATACAACCTCCTTAGGAGATTATATCTAAGGGAGGTGAGTGATGTTCTTTTCTTAAAACCAAGCCCCTTTTTAACACCTACACAAGAAAATATAGTAAGAAAGTTAAAGAGAGGATGAATAACCTTCTTGCTGAAAGGGACCTGATGAAACCTGTGAGTGCCTGTAGCCTCTAACACCAATGTTTACCAGCTGCCTCCGTCTTTATTCTCTCCATAATATGGTGACAAAGACTTTGGATAAAACATTACAAAGAACTGTCTGGTAGAAGAGGTCCGACTGAAAAGCACCAGTGAGCAAGCTTGTACTTGTTAACTTAAAAATAAAACTTCACTCGTTGACAAGCTCAAATGACTTTCTGCCACTAAAATCCTCTCATTTTTCCAGAAAACATTTATTTAATTGGGTAGCTGAAGCATAGAGTAATGCATGAACAGACTCTAAAGCAAAACAGGAGACGGAACTAATGTATACATTAAGTGTAGATGTATATAAAGACATTAGCTCACCTTTTTCAGAAGTTTTCTTGGCTCCAGATTTTGAAATATGTCGTGTCTCGTTTCCTGTTCCGACTTGGTTGGATGCATCCTGGGGGTTTTCCAACTTTTCTGCAAAAAAATAAAACCAATACCAACTTTTTGTACAGATGTCTTGGATCAAAGCAGTATTTTTGCAAAAATGCATTCACATGAACTTGTTCATGAGTTTATATAGTTAACTTTGCACTAAACAGAACAGTTTTTCCATGTTTGTGAACATTTTTCATTACTGCTGTTGGTTTTTAGCTATACAATAACTACAATGAGCAAAAAAAAATGCTTTGAAAAGTATCTCTGTGTTGACTAGATGGCATTAATCCTTAGAGGGATGGGTGACAAGATCCTACACTTTTGTATAAGTGGGTCAAAATCGACCTGTATTAGAATCGATGTGTTTTAGGGATAATTGTCCTTTTGGCTAAGGATAATCATTTGTAATATAAAAGTTGGATGCATTTGTAAATCAATATACAATGGATGTGGAGGAAGAAGAGTCGATTATAATCGATGTTGCTTGAAGTCAGTGGCAGACTGGTATAATCAATATGTTATTACTGTACTTGATTTATCAAAAATACATGGACATACTATCAATCAAGCTTTCAATCTTTATTTAAATTTTCTTAAAACGTCTTGGGATTTGCATTAGCTCTAAGCTAAAATGGTAAAATTGACAGATAAACACTGTTAATACCAGTATGAATCTTTACAATAAACAAGTTTTACTTTTTAAAACGAATCCTTGACATAAATAAACCTTTTGATTATATATAATTTACTGAATCACCTGCACCTAGCATTAAATGTATTAGCTATATTGTATCAGATTAGGACATCTCTAGCAAGATGTTAAACAAACTATCAAATCAGCATTTCATAAATTCTGAGACAATTTTCCACAAGAACAAGGCAAAAATTGAGATTGACAACACGTCGACAATGTTGGTAAAGAAAATCTTGCTCTGGTTAAATATGCAAGTGTCTCAGCACTGACCCTCAAACATATCCCACTGCACATCTAAGACAGATTTACATGATCCCCAGTTTAACATCGACAAGGATTTTCTTCTTTTTTCACAAAACTATTCCATTGTATTAGGAAAAATGCATTCACTTATTTTTAAATCTCTGATGCTATAATGATTTTAGGGCATCACCACAATGATTTCTGTTTTCGAAGTCAAATTCCAGCGTTGTCCTTCCGTCCAGATAAGACATTTGTGTTAGACCTTATCTAAATCTCTATAACATTAAGAACGTCAGAATATGATCTCAGCTAAACATATAGTTTTAGTTGATAGTTGATCAAACATTGACAAATATGTTATGCAGAAGATTGAATTTCTCAAAGTGTAGCTGGCAGTCATAAGTTGGACGCATGTCTGATTGTAGGTGTGCATCACAGCAAAAAGAATGGTAAATGGTCTGTACTTGTATAGCACTTTATCAAGTCCAGAGGACTCCAAAGCACTTCATTCATGTACACATTCACAAGCTTAAGGGATGACGTACTCCTCTAATTTCCATATGCCTGAACAGGGGTTTTGAGGATAAGGGCTTCCTTTGCCAAACAGGAAGAGACGATGATAAAGTGCAGCGTCTACAGGCCTAATGCAAGGTCTTTGCAGAATTTTGACTAGGGTCATCTTTGATGTTAAAGCGACTCAGTTTCCCAGACACACCCTCCCCTTTTCCTATAGCCCATGGCTCTCACCCTCTGCCTCATGTCTCCTTCCCTCCCTCCCTGCGATCCATCTCAATCACCGTCAGACATCAGTTAAGGAGGGGTTCCCTTCCACAGCAGAAATCAAAACACCGACGTGTCACAGCATGTCTCCAGTCAACCACCCAAAAACCAACCAATATGGTCTGAAATAACATGGCAAATAATTTGAAACTGCAGGACTAAAAAAGGCATCCACCACAACTGAATACGCATAAATACGCAGCCTCGCTTTATGAAGCGTCTTCGCAGCTGACGAAGTGCTTTAACAGCATGCAATTTACAGTAAAATCACAGTTGCAAGGGAGCAAGTGGGTTTATTTGGAAGTTCATTTTCAGTACTAGCGTGCAGTTGCCTCTTCTGAGCTCTGGTGTCAGTAGGACTGTCGCAAACAAACAAGAAACAAATACATATGTTTAATATTTGTTTTTGTTGAAGACTTAAATCCAGACAGTGTTAGTATTAACACGGGTGAGCTCACCTGAGCAGTTTCTGTATGACTCAAGTGGGTAATGAGTAGGCCTGCGTGAATGTGCGAGTATGTAGGAGTGATTTATTGTTGAAGCTAAGCCTTCTGCAGGCACTTCTGCCCTCACTAGACTTGCCACCCAGCAGCCAGACACTCAGTCAGTCCTCCTCAAACAACTTTAATTAAAGTAAAACTGAAAACAACTTTTTGTTTCATCACACAAAACAAGCTGCACTCAGCATGCCATAAAATGTCACAGAATAAAATGCAACACTACTCCTGGTCCATACACAGTATTTGCTTACTATTAGAAAGATCCCTGGTTCATGAAACCAAGCACAGCACAATGAGTTGAGTCTCGACGAGGTCTATTTTAATATCAGAGGACTACCAGCTCCAATTTACAACATGTCTGGCCCTGCCATGTAATTAGTCGCACTAAATAAAATATGAAAACATGAAGTCAAAGGTTTTGGTCAGAACTACAGAGGTGGATAATGGAAGGTTGCTACAGGGATATTAATCTGCTGATTGTTCAAATATATTTCCAATTAAGAACAACACAGTCATGACGTAGAAACTAAAATCATGCCACTTATCACTATTATGGTAAAGTTGTTGTTACAACAATCCACAAACCGCAGAAGGAAAAATGAAAATTAGAGAGCAATTAGATTGTTACGCATTTTATTTCTAATTTCTGTGTGACCACAGTGATAAATCTTGGTTATCATACTTTGAGAACCTCATAGCCCATATTACCTGCATATGAAACAGAAACGGTTATAGCACTCAACAGGGGAAATGCAACTTATTTGACATTCGTCATTTTGGCGTAGGATAAAACAGTTTCTCTGCAACTGTTAATGCTGTAACACCCTGATTAATAAAATTCCCCAGAAGTATTTTATGTCAACTGTAAAACCTTTTTGAGACAAGATTTTTGTCTTATTACTTCAAACACTTTTAAGAGACCCACTCATGTCATATAGGAAAACAAAGTTGACAACATAACTTATTGCAAGCCGTTTCTTTCTTCCCGTCTTTCCTTTTCAAAGTGGAAGATTAATGCATTGTTATCCTACGGTTTTTGGGTGCGACGAAGGTCTCTGGATTATCCCCACACATTATTTAAAAAACCATAATTCATTGGGGTATTGGCTAAGGATCAAAGAAAATCCTTCAGATGATTTAATCTTGGATCCCGCTCAGTCGCTGTAACTCAGCCAGTTTGGAATATGATAGGTGTTTCCAAACACAGCGCAGTCCTGTTGATCAGGTTCTTCAGTTCCACTAAATCAAAACATAGATACTGGGCAGCACTGGTTTAGTGCCATTAAGGCTACAGTATGCAACTGAATGAACTGAATAAAAACAAAAAACATTACATACGTGTTGAAACTGTCACTATGCAGTGACAGTATGGTATGAGACAAATAATCTGTGAAAACCTTTAGCACCTTATGCATCACCATCTGTGCCAGGTGTGTGCTTCAGTGACAGTCTGTCCAGCAGGATGGATATCTAATTGCAATGAAAATGATCCAATGAAGACATTTTGTCCAGTCTTAATTTAGTAGAGCATCTACTGTTACAGTAGGATGATGGCTTTTTAGAAGGAGTTGAAACGAGGCCTCACTTTGTAACCAAAAAGACAAATAACTTTACCTTCAAATTAAAAGCTGGTCTTAAAAATAAGGCATCGAACATACATTAATGTTGTGGAATTTTAATGCATTTTTAATTGCTACTATTTGTTAAATATATTTACTTTTAAGTTGCATTTCCTTAGATGTCGGCATGGCAGCTGAGACGGGTTGTCATACTGTGATGCATTTACTTTTATGAGGACCGGAGCATGGTTCCTATCAGACAGCTTAACCTATAATCCCTGGAAAAGCTGCACTGTATCTACGACATGGCACACAAACCACTTATGTCGACTTAAAACTAACAAATAAAAACATATGATAAAGTCCTGAATGACGCACCGTTGTAAATGCCAGAGTCGGTGAGCTCAGTCTGGAGCTTCCTCTGTGACTCAGGGATTTAATGAGAAGGTATGAATGACAACGGGTGTTTTACTGCCCACACTCTCTTTCTCTCTGAAAGATCAGTTTCGGATACCGCAGCACTCTGCTGATTCTTCAATGTCCAGCCATTAATGCTGATGACACGCAGCCGTTTGAAGGTTGTGTTTTAGTGCGTTTGAAGCTCTGACGTCCTCTGGGACAGAACACCTGTAGCTCGGACTGAAAAGCTCTGATGCAAGGCCTGGGATCAGCAGATCCTGTAGCCTGGGAATTCACTGACACTGCTCCATGGCAGCTTTGAGGTACTGATCATTTAGAGAGGGAAAGAGAAAGTAATGAAGATTGGAAATTTCCCCGAGGAATAATAGAAAACATCAAGACAGTTTCTCCTACTCAACCCTGCCTCAGAATACCCAAGAAAACTCTCCTCATAATCAATTGAAAACTTATATTAGAATAGATGCAACACTGAAGAAAGCAAGAATGAGATTTTACCTCAACAAACAACAAATTGAAGGTGAATTTCAGGTCTAAGTGGGGTCAAATTCTGACTTCTCTTGTATTATTTATGTTTGAGAATCCATGGAGCCATTTGTATAGGACTGAAATTACAGGAAAATGTTATACAAGTGGTTAAAAAAAACATGAGATATATCTGACATAGCACAAGTCATCTTCGAAAATTTTATCAAAAAAATTAGACGAGGTCAGTTTTCCCTGATGTCCACGAGGTTAAAAGTTGTCCATGTTTCAGATTCGCGGACATGACTCAGCTTGCGGTCATCACATCCCTGCCTCAGCAGATTGTCTAACCTGTCTGTCACTAGAGGACCCAAATTTGGG